GAAACTATTCGGCTTATCAATTAGAACTAGAAAGGAAATGGTTTAAGCTTAAGATACAATGAGTGCAAGTTGAATATTTTAATTATTCTTTTTCAATAACTGTTATGAATTACTACGTCGATGTTATATGTTAAATTAAAGAACTAAGACAACTCCTAGATAAGATGAAATTATCGACAAACTCATTTGCTCTTGATTCGATTAATATGCATGGGCCAACAAGAAGTATTGCACCTAATCAAACAAGTAGTAAACGCATGTCGACAATTCCGAGACGTTTGTTCAAAGTATGAAAAACACTACAAGAAGGACGATATATTGGTTTCGCCGTAGTGAGCATCCATGACCATCCTAGAAATCAAATTCATAAACTGCCGATCTCATGACAAATGATTCAATTTTAAGCTATCAAACTGAAATCTAACAGTAATCATTTTAAATTTCGGTTAATTTATGGTTTCATCGATAGGTAAACTGCTTAATACTGGATAGTGAAATTCATTCACATTTATTTCCTTCCTCTTACAATCAGTCAGACAAAAATGTGCGTTCAACTTCATATACCACTAGCATGGAAAAATGAAATTAACAAGATGACTAGAGAACAAGTAGAGACATTAGTAGTATAAATGGTAACAGAAAACACTGATTATTGTGAAGAACATAGTTGGAAAAGAATGAATCCGTGGGATAAAATGCAGTTTTTAAAAAATACTGAAGCACAAAACTACGGACAATTGAAATAAACTGTGAGTAATGAAGCTATCAAGTAATCGATTATGTACAAATACGAAACAGGATTGCATTTAACTTATAAGCTTACGAGAAAACATTTTTTTAAAAGCTAGGAAATAATGTGAAATATTGATAGATATTTAGTATTGATGTAAGAGCAGGGGGAGGGGGTATATCTGATAAGAGATGAAAAAAGAGTAAATAACAATCCTCAAACTGATAGTTTTGAACCTGTATAATTTATCATTTGGTACCAAATTGAAAAGAATTGTCTCTAACCAATGTACATACATATATACCAATTATTGAAATCAAACTTCTAAACTATAAATGATAGTTAAAAAAAATATGAGAACTGGCAAACTACTTAATCTTACATTAAATTCTTATCAAGCATAATAGTGGTAACGGGACGAGTATTGGAAAAGTTGAACTTTCGGAATCGTCTCCTACTTAAAATTAATGTTTACTTCTTTGTTCATTAATTATTAATGAACTAAATGATTGTATATTTACATGATCCTATTTGTAAGCTTTCTCTTGATGCACAAACTAATATTGTTTGTTGTGCCTTCCTTAATTTACTGTGAATTTATCACGAACCAGTGTATTATTAAAAAGAGTAAATGAAGTACAAATATGTTCCAGTCACATTTTAGTTGGCGATAAAGAGATTTTCGGATATAATAACTGGTACTTCATTTGAATTTTCCTGGTGTCTATAATGTCATTTAGTCACATGTATTTGGTGTTGGACGCGAAGAATAGTTTGGCTGAATTTTAGCTACAATCTATACTAGGATAATGCAGGTACATCCAGCTGACGAGTCTCAAGTGGGATGAAACGTATGTTCTGGTCATATTTCCAATGTCCATTTAAAACCTCACTATCCCTTATGCAACCTCACATCATAGAATATCAGAGAAGATGAAAAAAAATGATCGTATTGCTTTGTTTGACTTCATACAGAAATTTTAATTTCCGGACTACAGAAGACTGCACAACAAAAGTTTATTAAATAAAATACTGACTACTGATAAACGAAGAAAGTAATATAAATAAACGTGGAATTGTAAAAACAACAACTAGACATACTTTCGCTTCACGAATTGTAGCCAATACAGCAGATTCAATCAAATCTGCGTACTTATTTAAATTCATATAACGAAGCATCATAATGGCTGAAAAGAGTAGAGCAGTTGGATTGGCACGATCTTGACCAGCAATATCAGGAGCGGTACCATGTACCTGAAAATATGTATAATGGATATTACTATTACGAAAAAATATAAAAAATTCTAATCGCATGACACAAAATTTCCAGGATAACTACAGTTTAATACATGTTACGTCTGCAGGATTATGATCCACAGTTGAGAAAAATCGACTTAAATCAGCTCTTAAAAAATAGGAAGGCGACATTTCAAGAACTTAAACTAATCGAGAGAAAACTTGTATGTGATTTGTCAGAAGCTGACATTCATAACAGTTGATCTTGAAACACGTTTCAGCTTATTCGATAATCATCCACATAGTTTCTACTAAGATAGGACAGGGGTAAACTACCAAGGTGTTTTGAATAAACGGAATATTTGACACAAAAGTACACATTTAGAAAATCAATCTGAAACGCCTATGACTTTAAGATATGAGTTTTATAGGAAATTTATCAACTTATGAAGATTAACAATTAACTATGAGGGTTAACTCTTGTCCACCATATTTCCAAATGCCCACAAAACGATGTAAGTCGATCACACCAGCTAGCGCTGTCCGTTGAGATAGACGATGGTTGGATATATATAGAGGATATACATTCACAACCTCACTAACAGATTTATTATTTTGGCCTAATTATTTTTTCCTAATCTCAACATCAGTCCCTAGGTCTTTCAACAATACAGGAGCGACAATTCGGAGGTGCCTACGTTCAAAAACCAGTAGCCTACGAGAAGGTATTCTTTTCCCATAGGTCGCATTTCACAAACAGAATATAGTACAGAGAGAACTGCTGAACAGTAACAGTTATGCTTCGAAAAATACATGGACAAATTGTTTGCATCACAAGTAACGTTAGTTAAATATTAACATAAAAAGTTACTAACTTACTGATTCAAATATAGCTCCAGTTTCACCAATGTTACCGCTTGGTGTAACACCTAGACCACCAATTAAACCAGCGGCTAAATCACTCAATATATCACCATACAAATTTGGCATAACTAATACATCGAAACGAGTTGGATCTTGAACAAGCTGATATAGGAAGAGAGAGAAAATTCCACTCAATGTATCCATATTAATAACTGTTATTTTAATTATTCTCACGGTTATAAAACTAATCATAACAATAATAGCTTTATTCAGTATTAAAAATTTCATTACGGCAAGGAATTCTCAGTATCAATTGTACAATACTGCAACGAATTTCTGCGTAACAAGTCGTCAAACTGTAATTATTTCATAATATACTTTATAAATATTTTTAATGGTCAGGTATTTAGTATTTGTCCTCAATTGGGAAAATTTTTCACCAGTTCAGATGCTACGATCAGTGTTTCCGTTTATCATATAAAAGAAGCACGAGTTGTAGTGTAGTTGTCTCTGATTATTTTTTTCAAAGAATAGACAGTGAATAAAATATTCCAACAAACTCAGTGTTTCAGTACATAGATTCGCAACAATTTAGAACCCTCTCACAGAAGGGCCTCAGTGCATACAGCCAAAATTCATAAGTATTTAGTTCAGACAAATCCAGAACAATTTCTGGAGTTCTGTTAAGAGTTCGTGTAGACCAGTGTAGCTAAACCGTATCGGGTGTGAGATAGTTACCTACCACAGATGATGGAAGATGGACACATAGTGGAATGGAATAATTAAAGTTAAATATTAACACCATCAGGGGGGTGCTGATTCAGTGGTCTAGAGGTTAGGTGTTCGCACGCAAGGCCGAAGATCTCGATCTCGATTCCTCCGTGCTGGGTCTTAGATTAGCACTAATGAAGAGTCCCATACTACGACGAAACAGCATTCAGGTTTTTAATATTGGTCTAACTTAGATCGGTTCATGGTATCAGTGAAATTCAAAACAGATGGATTAAGTGCAAGATTTGCACAGTTAGGAAATAAATGACTCAAACGTTTTAAAACAACAGAAAAAAACAATAATAATGATGATCAACGAAAGAGAGAACTTTTTAGAATACATCATTGTCACTGTAGCAACAAGTGAGTATCATATATGGTAATCATATAATTATTCGGTGGTATACGGTATTTGCTGACTAGATTGTCTTACTAATTTGTTATACGCCTTGCTTGAAATAGAGGTGAATAGTTTTTTTAAAGTTTATCTCACAACTGCTATAATAATTTATTCATATAACTTGAAAGTTTTAAGAGATCCTGTTATCTTCCTGTTGGGATATTCAGAAAAATATCCCAAAAATTATCCTGTTAAGTCTAATGCTATCCTTGGACTTGAAATGGCATCATTTTCCTATTGGCCAATTTTTATTTCATGTGTCATTTCCCTATTGGGCAATATTTACTTCACGTGTCATTTTCCTGTTGGCCAAATATTGTACAAATGTTATTTTCTATTTTATGGTGCGTTGTGGTCTGCTTGATTAGCATATAAACAGAGTACGTTTGAAATACATGATTCATATCGCAGAGGCTGAGACTTATGTTCTGGAATTATCTGGCTGGGCTAGGCGGAAAGCAGGGCCAATCAGAACTCTAGGCTGAGCATACGTGTTTACGCGTCTTTGATTCGATCAATAAGTCACTGCTCATTAATCAGAAGTCACAAGTTATAACACTTCCTGCGTATTTCTCACCGTTAACTTCAATACAAGAAAGAAACAAAGATAACTACTAATTAAAAACAAGGCTATTAAAACAAATTGATATAACTATTCGATAGCTTCATCTTTTACATGAAGTATGCATAGTATTTTTAACGAATACACATAAAGAAACAGTTATGCTTTTAGAATTCGGTGATTAGTAAAAAAATAGGATTACAGATTATAATCAGTTAGTGTTTGTGAATCAATGAATGAATGAATCAGTCAGTTAGTTGTAATCAACACAAGAACTGGCATACATATGCACTAAGTTAAATACCTAAAACACATTAACACAATAAGATGAAAAAATGAATAATGTAACATTTGTCTAGTTCTTAGTAGTTATCGAATTCTATCAACCAAGTTGTATCACGAGCACTTGTCTAAGTGATTCAACATCTTATATACTATGTTAAGATAATTAGACAATTGTAGGTAGTCGGTAGGAATTCCTACCTACAGTCAAATGAACAGCAAAAGTGTAGCAGTATTAACAACAGTGGGAAAAAGAATAAACTTTCAAAGTATGGTTTGGAGAAGAAAATGTATGCGACCACCATGTATTTTATCCAAGATATCCAATCATCAAAAGAGAAAAATATTATGAAAAAGAAGTTGTGAATATCTAATAACTTTCATAAATAATCTTTCTTTTATTTAACTTACATTTAAGCAGACAGTATCCAAAAACATATCACAAAATTCAATCTCCCTATGGTGTGCAGCTTCTTCACGGCATACTCGAAGGAATAGACCATCTGACATTCTCCTTTTTATTGAGGAGAGGGAAAATAGAAAAAAAATTACAGATCAATTAATTTATATTAGCTTCCTAAACCATCGGGTTTTAACAGTCATAGTATGTACTATACAATTTGGTAGTGATGATTTGAAATTATTTTCTCCACGATTATTTATGAGCATCAATATGTTATATCCGGAGAAGATTAAATTATGTGTAACTTCTGGGAACCATTTACGGATTATTATTACATATATCTCTTGCTTTATAATTGTTAAGTACCTAGATTATGTATATTTATATTCCTTTTATCATAAGCTTTCATTTGACCAATTGACTACTATCATACGATTTACCATTCTTGAGTTATTGCCAATTTATTAGTTACAGTCTCTCACAATCACAGCCACTTTTTGGCTTGATCCTGTATAATTGTTACTTTTTATTTTATGGTATGATGTGGTCTAATTTGCTTGTATATGAACCAAGTGTGCCTGAAATATATGATTCATATAGTGGAAGGCGATATTGGTGTTATGGACTCAACTGGCAGTGCTAGACGAGAAGGATCAATAAGGACTCTAGGCTGATTGTACCGGTTTTTTCGTCTTTGGCCTGATCATAAAAGTCGGTGTTCTAATTGGCGAATAAATCATGTGATATAACTAACAAGCCACAGGTCATAACATAATGTAACTGGGAAACTATGGTCTGGGACTAGAGGTTATCTGCTATAGTATCGTGAAAACTCGTTTGTCTTTGTATTCGAGACAGAAACTGACCAAGCATTCAGTAGTGCAGACTACAGATGCCATTTGTATGTTGAGTTAGTAGCAGTCATTTCAAAGAGGAATACTACATTACTAAAGTAATACATAATGTGTAAATATTAGGCAGGACACAGACCACAGTCTGTAAATTTACTACTTAAACAAGCATTCCGAATTAGCGACCTCCATAAAATAAAATGGTATACTCCGAATGGTAGTGCAGTAGGCTTGGTGAAATATCTGTGTTAAGCTAACACAAAGTAATCGGATGAGTCACAAGCATCGAAATGATGCCAAGTTCGGAGAAGATGGGACGTCATAACAATTATATTAAATTGGATCCATAAAAGTTCCGCAAAAATACACACTGATGTCAAATAACGAGAACATGACAGTTCTAGTTGTATAAAATATGATCATATCAAATGGTAGCTTAGTTAGTGACTAACAACCTATCTCTTGAAGCCATGAATATCAAACTTGAGTTTTAAATTATCAGCAAAATCAGTCTTCAAATATCACTAGAAGTCATAATTATTTTGATCCAAGGAGAGAAACCTTGGTACCTAAAGCATCCAGCTTTCAATTATCTGATACAAACACCCCTACATCCATTTCAGTCTGGACATTCGAGAGAAACAACTGGTTCTTGAAACCAGTACTTGGTTAACAAGTTATATATATATATATATATATATATATATATATACGCACACAAGTTATCATTAAATTTGTGTGTAGGCTGTGATACATCCCAGGTGTCCAAACCGACACAGGTGGCCACTTCCCGAATCCTTGACCAAGAGGTCTAATCCATAAGTGGAGCAACGTTAGGAAATGCAGTCCCATGGCAGCTGGTGACCATACGCCACTTTGTGTCTCAGGATTTTGGAGCATCATTGGTTTGGAATCAGGGTTTTCCAACTCTCCTAGGTGGATTTAAAAAGCGGATATTCGCTTTTGTCCTCTCAGTTTTGTAAACTATAACCACCCATCCCCCTCCACGAGTAGGTAGTGAATAGGGCTTCCCTGACAATGGTTATGTAGTCGTGGTCATGTGAGAGCATTTTGAAAAGTTTATCCCTGACCTCGGTCGTACCAGCAGAACTGAGGGGCCATTGATTAATAAATATATTTTGGCTCCACTTTTTATTCAACGCTCAAAATTAGTTACTCAATAAACAGTTAAGTGTTCATAACAGACAACGAAACATTAAAATTTGGAGCTCATTTAGTGGAATAAGAATGTTTACGAAAGTAACTTACATAATATTAGCTTTATGCACAGCTGTTACACTACGTCGACCATTATCTTTTGCATATTGAAATGCATATCTAGCAACACGTCGACTTGCTTCTTCAGTGATCAATTTAATACTTTGTACAACACCATCCACAATCTGTATACATACATATACATAAAGTGTTACATTAACAACAATAGTTTAGTACACATGTAGATGACAATGAAACAAACGAAAATATCATATATTAGAAAAATAAACATACTACTCACAATTCCAAAAAGAAATAAAGAACTCTTAACGAAACGACGAAATGATTTATACGTTAACAAAGATGAAAGAATATTTTCGTTTCCTTTTCTGTTTTATATGGTTAAAGTGAATAAGTTTAACTTTGGGATTAATGATAAGCAAAGCAGTTGGACGAGAGAAAGAAGAATTCAATGTAGAGATTAGATTGTTTATAAACCTATAGTTTATAGTTTAAACTGTTTACGAATAAGATGACATACACATGCATGTTTGGGAGACGATTCTCTTGCTCTAAATACAAAATATTGCTTCAGGACAGGTCTGCGTCAGTGCCTGAATTAATGATAGGGAGTGAAATGGTTGAGTGTACCGACCACTTAACTTATCTTGGGAGTCCCACAAGTCCTGATGGTCTGGTGTCTGATGAAATCTCAGCACGTATTCAGACAGCTCGATTGGCTTCTACGAACTTGTGTCAACTGTGGAGTAGACAAGATATACATCTGCCAAAGGAAAGACAAGAAGCTCCCAAACCAAAACGAAGCGCTAGACCATGATATCATTGACAATTGGGCTGAGCCATGTTAACAGGTGTGAACTACCTGGTTAGGGCCTACTTGTCATCGTAACTAGTGGTTAGTGAGTTTAAATGACATGACTCAAACTCGTATGAAATGACCCAGATGCATCCACCCTTTGTCTTCTACTGAATTCCTTGTAATTCTTTTAAAATTTAATTAATTTATGTTTTTTCGAATCGTATTTTTGACGCTTAATATTTTCTATTTTCATTGATACTGTTACTACCTCTACTATTATGGGATTCTCCCTAACAATGTTATCTTACTGTGTTATTAGGGTAAGACAACTTAGACCGAAGTACATAGATGCCAGGTTCTACGTTGCGTCTTAGTGGCTGACTGACATATTCCTTCGTGTATGGTAATTAAGGATAGTGATCACTGATCAACAATCAGTCAAATAACGTAATATACATCACTTTTATTCAGGTCAGAATGTTAAAACACAAGTGCACTTTCAACCAATAAGAACCTCAGTAATCATCAGGCAAATACACAAACATTATTAAACAACATGAAATTTGGCACGAATGTTTAATCAGTCACACTTTAAAAATCACCCGTAAAGAAAGCGAAGAAGAAATATACAGAGTTTAAATGAAGAGTGTAAAATCGAAGATTGAGAAATGTATGAAAATAATACCAAATATTTCAAAGTAAAACGAAAATAGAAAAAAAAGGAATCCAAGTTAATACGGCCATAAATCAAAATTATTTGATGAAACTAAACTAAGAAACTATACAGGCAACAAATCGAAGTAAAAGAAGATAAAATAGGATGTCAGTGTACGCATATTTATTCATCACAACTGAAATTCATATACTACCCAGAAGTCATGAAGTTTGCTTCAGTCCTGATGTAAAATCTTATCAGGGTTTCCAAACAGACAATAGAATGATGTGTCAAACCCAGCAAACTAGAATGGAAGATTATCCGTAAACATGGTGCTGAAAAGCGAAAAACTGAAAGCAACCAAGATAACAAGAGGAATAAAGAAACAACGAAGCTTGTGCAAATGATGTATTTGACGTATGAGTTTCACAGTTTACTGAACCAATGTGTAATTGTGCATTAAACAATAAATTGGTCTTCCCTATCGAAGTCTTCGTTCAATACGGTACTATTATCATGAAATTACATAAAATACATTATACACCTCAACTCGTGAGGTATCTGCTGTATCTTCGGTGTTTATGTACAATAACAGGGGAGCAGTCTCCAAAATATATATCTTAACTTAGTTACAACAAAATAACCATATGATACGTAATGGCTATGTCGAAATTACAGTGGCAAACTAGATCGAAACAAGAACGAATAACACCAATCACTATATGGAAACTGTTACAAATGAAACAAATATTTAACGAGTATATTGGAATTAAAGGCGAACATTAAAAATGTTATAGAAATGCAGTCACAACAATAAACAAACTGAGTGTCACCAGTTCATGTACATACGATGTTCAAAAGTTATTAGAATTACAATTGGTTACTGAATATCACCAAGTAGTATAGAATAATACAAAAAAGGGAGCTGAGTAAAAAGAGAAAAAAACGTGAACAAATATTAAAAAAAAATTTTTATTACTTACCACATGTTCTATACCAGAATATTCACCTTCAGTATTCTCTCTAACTGTAACCAAATCAACATTTTTATAAGGAGTTTCATAGCCTTCAATAGATTTACATGGTCGAACATTGGCATAAAGATTGAACTCTCTGTAAATAAATTATGATAATGTGAACAGAGAAAGCTAGTACGATAAAGTACTGTACATTTGTGAGGAAGAGAACAGAAATTTAAACTATCTAAAAACTTTTTAGGTGTCAATGCTACGACTGAACTTCATAGTTTGAAATAAATTGAGCATTGGGTAGAAAGTTAGTAATAAATATATTTCTTGTTATATCTCAATCAATAGAAAAATTGTATTCCTAACGTTTAATGACTTGATGTAAGCCACTTCTTCAGAGTGAATAAACAACCTTACGGTTTACTGCACACCCTAAACCCAACACCATATCATGCTTCTATGGCTTACCAAATATTCAAAATCCTGATATTCCTTGAAGACCCATAGCGGCCCCACACCGGATTCATAGAAGTAATTAATTCAGTGATGGTAATATATAAAAAAGAAAGATTTTATGTAAGGATATAGTACAGAAAAAAAGAATTAGTTGGTAGAAAGAAAGATATGAAGTGATTTTAATCTCATGGTTTAAGGGAAGACAGAGAGTGTATACACCGACGCCATGGTGATCGATTCTGAGCCATTTCATCCAATCTTCAACCATTGGTTACGTTAGTCACGCGGACCCCAATCAAGTAGTCTGCATCTACCAACATGGCTCAGACTAGAAGTTAGTGATTTCAAGCACTGATGCCACGTTTTGGTTTGGCCGCCCCTAACTTTCTTCCAACCATTCCCAACACTAGTAATTGAGCGTCGTAGTAATCGGTGTTCAGGCATACGTAACACGTGACCCAACTATCTCAGTCGATGAAGATTCACAACCTCATCAACTGATTTACCATCATCATTCCCTAATGCTCCTACGTCTAACCTCACTATTACTTACCCGGTGATCTCAGTAGATGCGAGAAATATTTCTAAGACATCTGTGGTTACATACTAATAGCTTACGAGTATCTTCTACTCTTAATGGCCATTTTTTGCGGCCTTAAAGTAGAACGGAACAAACTGCCGCGCAGTACACTCGTCCTTTTATTGATAGACGGATATCTCCCCTTCGCCAAAGGTGACGTAAGTTGGCAAAAGCCAAACGAGATTTTCGAATCCATGCTGAAATTTCGTCAGACACCAACCCATTAGGGCTGATCAGACTTCCAACATAAGTGGAGTTGTCAATGCGTTCGACTACTTCATTCCCCATCCTTAGTTCAGGTGTTGACACAGACCAGTCCACTTTTCACTTTCAAAATGACCCTATATAAATAAACAAATGGAGTGGCTATAGGAATTCCAGTACCTCCTATTGTCGCAAATTTCTTTATATTCCATATTGAGTCGCTTAAAAGAAGACAAAACTTCTGTGTCCACCAACATCTCCGCCACGAGAAGGCAGTGAGTAGGACTTCCCTGGCAGTAGCTGTATACGCAGGGCCATGTGAGAGCATTTCGAGAGGGAGAGTGGACTCTTCCCACATAAATATTGTTACAAAGGGGCACCGAATACATATGTGCCACACAAATCACTTGATTTGTGTGAGGGATGTGATGCTGCCCGGATGTCTAGACCGAACCAGGTGGTTCCTTCAGGAGGCCACACCCGGAGCCTTCAACCTAAAGGTCCGATCTACAAAGCAGTGGAGCAACGTCAGGAGATGCAGTCACATGGTAGCCGGTTACCAAGATGTGCTTATTACGCTATTTGATTCCTCAGGATCCTGGAGTTCATGTGCACCATTGGTTTGGAACCAGAGTTTTCCACCTCCCTAGGTAGATCCTGCGTACCAACCAATCCGGTTAAAGTGCCGGTCATTCGCTTTCCGTCCTCTCAATTTCGTAGGCAACACGCCTATTGTACATGCATAAGGGGAATCGACAGTAAACTTTGTCGATAAATAGAGAATATCTTGTAATCGTCATACTGACATCAGAACTCATAGTATTTACTAAGCAACCTAAGTCAGGTAAGGAGAGAAAAAACTGAGTCACTTCCATCATTACAGCACCTCAGTTAATTAGCTCAGAGACCATTTAGAGATCATAATAATAAGTTAGTGGTCAGTAATAACACAAAGCCTGACATAAGTGAAAGTCAGACCAAGGTGCCACATCTTATCAGAACGGTAAGATCAACTAAGAGAGTAGATTTGGTAGATACTCAAAGCAAGGTAATATAGCCCAGTGACCAATTAATGTGAATACCGCCTTGTTCGGTTGAACTAGATATTCTCGATTTTACATTATGACTTCAACGATTTCCTCATATTTAAGTGATAGACTGCAATCATTTCGAAACAATTAGCAATAAAATAGTGCCTAACATAGGGAATACTAAAAGTATCGTCTTAATCATGGTTAAAGCATCTGCATTCCAACTACAGGGATACAAGTTCGAACCCAACCCTAGTCTACTTTATTTTGACAAGCTGGCAACTGGCGAAAACAACAAAATTATCCCCAATCCTACAAAATCCCTGAAAGGTGGTAACCGAACGCATATATTTTAGAATACTGATCGGCGAAACATTTTTGTATAACTCTTTACCTTTCGCAGTGTTTGAGTGTTATCGATGATTTTGTTAATTTTTCTTTTAAGTAATTTCCAAGGCCGAAACTCATGGATTGATATAACGGTTCTTAAGTATTTTGGGTCGAGTCTTAAAAGTTGATTGATTTTACTTGTAAGACAACAGAGTTAAGTACAAAATATAAAGTGATGAGACTACATGAGTAAATAGAAAGGTCAAACAAGGTCACTAATCATACAATTTAAGCACAGTTATAGAACTGATCTAGAATACAACTTTAAGTCAAACAACGAGTACAGGAACTAAGAAAAACTATTTATAGATTACTCATATACATTGTTTTATGTTCCAAATCGCACATCTTAAAACCAACAGTTATAAAGTGTAAAAAAGAGATTCTGAAACGTATTTCACTCCAAACGTGTTGACAGTTTTAAAAACTGCATATTTTAAACAAATTTCAGGAAATCCGAAACAATATATAAACATGACCGGTAGTATGGCAACTAACCCAGTTGGTTTGGTCCCAGATCTGAGCCTTGCTCTAAATACTTCGGGTCTGAGTATCTAAGTGTTATATCCGAACGAAGAACAAATGAATGGTAACTGCTAGGAATTCTGTATGGGCTATTATTACGTATTTTTCTATTGGATAACTATTAAGTAACTAGATTATATACATATCCATATTCCTTTTATCATAAATTTCCGTTTGACTCATTGGCTACTGTTATACGATTTACTATTCATAATTTATTCCCAATATACCAGTTACAGAATCCCTCACTCACATCCACTTGTGGCTTGATTTCGTATAATTATTACTTTTCATTTTATGGTGTGATGCGGTCTGGTCTGTTTGTACATAAACTACGCATTTCTGAAAAATACGATTCTTACAGTGGAGGCTGATATTTGTATTCTGGACTGAACAGGCTAGGTTAGACGAGAATTTGCTATACAGAGGACCAATAAGGACTCGGGTATGATAGTGATGTCTGACGCATAGTTGGTTCAGTATACGGACAGGGTCATAGAAGTCAGTATTTTCATTGGCGATTTCTTCATGTGATATTTGACGGGCCGTAGGACATTGTACTAAGCATTATCGCTGACTAATGCAAAAGGCATGTTTTATATATGTATAAACCAGATTACCAAGTACACAGTTGTGCGTACAAATTACTAACGGGCTGTCTAGCTTAAATTATATGGTGTATTTGAGTCTGGGAATCAGCAAAAATTCAAATTCGAGAGCCTAGATTGCTGTGTTAAATGCCTCAGTTCTTTTCGCAGGACTGGAGTTGCTCTGTGAGAAGTAATTCTACCTTTAAATATGAAAATTCATTTCGCCCATTTTCATCCATAGAAAGTATGTGCTTTTCATACATAAGTACTCGAGTAATTATGAGGTCTATGAGTATAAATGCGCTGTATTACTACATAAAACTGAATAAGCAGTCCGAAATTCAGGTATAAACATATAGATGTATAATTTATTGCACAGTTATTTGATATGACCAAGTCAATTGAATGCAATGATTAGGAGGGACTTGTATTGACTATGTACACATCGGTAACAGAAAATATGGTTGCCACTCTCAAATTTGTATACTTCAATAAGTCATAGAATAACAAAAATTCATACTTGCTTTGACTGCGAATTAGTGAATGAAAATAGCACTTGCCATATATATTGGAACTTCAAATTACAGAGGACAAGTGATTATATGATTTGTGTTGATTGGTTCAGCATAAGACTAAATTGTTCAATAAAGTTTTCCCGACCACGTAGTAGCATGAATAGAAATGTGGAGTCGAGAAATTCCTATCTGACCACCCAACGACCTGAAATATTACTTCTGATTTGACTAATTCTTATTATTACCAATGACGATTTTCGTTTTAACCACAATTCTCGGATGTATTCCGAAGAAACCACTACTACTTAGGAAGAATGTGGTCTCATGTTAAGAACTATATATGTATTGCTTCATTCGGTATTTTAATCGAAACAAAAAAGCTCTGGTCTCTTAACTATCACATCATAAGTGGTTGTAAACATTCACACTACACTCCTAAACATACTACTGTTAACTAACTAGAAGACTAAGAAATCTTAGCCATCGTAATTTAGTCCCTAGAATGTGACAACTTATTGGTTACTACTCAGCGATCGATTAGGGCAAATGTCCCAATCCTACAAGCTAGTAGCTGGCCGATTAGCTAACATCCCAGCCGTTTTACGATTGGAAAGGAAGCATCAGATATACGTCTCTAACGAGTACCAACTAGCAAAGAACCTAGGTCTTAGGGATCTTAACAATAGCCTTCAACCACTTAGCAGCCATTACTAAGTCCTGATATTTCCAGTTGGCTGAAAGAAATAGAAGTAACAAATCAAAAAGCCAATTTTAGTGCATTACAGAGAAACAGAACTCACTTTCGTAATGCTAAATTTAAAGATTGATGACCCTTCCCAATTGGAGTAGCTAATGGACCTTTTAACCCAATTCCATGCTTGCGTATAATATCTAGTGAAGACTGTGGCATACGAAAGCGACCGTCTTCTGTAGGTCGAGGTGTTACATCCACTGAATCCCATTTAATAGGAACCTGGTATTTTCAAAAAGAAAAAAAATTATGAAGTGCCAAGCGATAAAACCAAACTATTTTTTTGCAACTGATTGAAACAAATAAGACTTTCGTAGTAAAAGCAAATACGTCAAATAGATGTGTCACCATGATAATTAGGATTTTCTGTGTTAAAAACTCCAGAATTAAATTCAAACAGATTATTTTCGACTCTACAGAAGAGCTTGGGTTTAAACACCAGGGCAGCAACTCATCTCTCACACAAATTGGATGGTCTATGTAGTGCATATCTATTTGGTTCCTCCTTGAACTAATGTTCATGTTTGAATACATAAATAAGTAAATAAACCACAGAGGTGGGTAAAAAGTAGTTTTGATGTTCCACGCAAGAAAGCCAAAAAAAGTTCTTATTCACCAATGTACCGCTGTTTTCTTTTAATATTATGAGAACTCCAAACATAATCGGAAAAATAATTCATATGTTATTTAGACATGCTGAAATTACTAATCAGTTAAACATAGACAATTAAAGTCGAATGATCTAATCTTCTTAATGGTTTGGCTCCTTACAGTAATCACAATGCAGTAAACTATATACTGACTAAGATACTCTGATTATTGGGTCCGATGGTTATTGGAATTACGTGCTAGCATAATTTTAGTTAGCATTAATCGTCATGACATACACTTATACAGATGGAAATCCACAAAAAGGCAAGCGCATATAAACTGGAAAAACATCTAATTTGCATGACTATTGATTTAGTAATCAAAAATGAATTTTAAACTAAGATATAGTAATTTGATGCGGAAAAGTAACGTGTAACACTTGAGTGTTACATCGATTTTCAAATCAAAATTCAGAGATTCAGACCAAACATTTGTTAGTAAAAAAATGAGTTTATCTTGAGTTCGGTTGGTATGGTAAAGATGGAAAATTATGTATAAAACGACGTCTTATTAATATAACGTACATCAGCAAATTTGAAAATTTCCTGAACAGCTGCCGATATTTCTGGACCTATACCATCACCAGGTATAAGTGCAACTGTTTTTATAGTGGTTGAAGATGACTTTCTGAATAAGATAAACAACCGTGAGCGATTAACAAGCAAACCTATTTACAACTCCAAAAATGCGCGATACGGAGCTCAAGAGTCGCATTTTCCGCGTCATGCAATTGATAGATTGGAGTATTTAAACACAGTTTGTGTCGACACTTTTACGAAAGAAATAAAACTTGGCATGTTTTCATATTGTAAATTTTTCTTTGTGTGCTAAAATGTCAAAATAAATGAGATGAGTACAAGTTCTTTACTAATATATTTTATTCACAAATTTCTTGAATCGAATCTTCTCGATAAACGATGACTAAAAAGTAATTGTAGAAGACTTAGGATGACTTCTTGGGTTAGGGTGGATTGTGCAAGTTGTTGGATTTACAGTCATAAATTATTCGCTGACACCATGCCCAATCATACTCTTAACCGGAGCTTGTGACTGACAGAAATTTTGACGCCCCTGGAAAGCATCATCTATAAACAGGGAGGATCTGATGCAGACGTAAAGGTCAGGATTGAAAAGGCAAGAACAGAATTTTCACGATTGAAGAACATATGGAACTCAAAACAACTGTCAACCAACATCAAAGTCACAATCTCCAGTGCGAACGTCAATACATAGGTGAAAATTGGAGAACTACCACAACCATCATTAAAGATGTACACGTATTTATGAACGATTGTCTATGTAAGACACTGAATATTCGCTGATCGGATACCATCAAAAAACAGCCTGATGTGGAAGAGGACAAACCAGCTTCCAGTTGAAGAGTAAAATTAGAAAAAGGCGTTGACGGTGGTTAGGACATATATTGAAGAAATCATTAAATTGAGTCATGTGGCAAGTACTTGTAGTGTCAGTCATTATTTTAAGCCCATATATCTTATTCTAGTTTTTGGACAAACCAATCTATTCATTCTACTTGAGTCATATTTTGACCTTGTCAATTATTCGCTTGTCAGTCTTGATTGTTTTTATATGAGCGTATATGTGTGTGCCCTTCTTATTCCATGAATCGCATGTCTGTAGCTTTTTTTGTCTGACTATAAATATTGAGTAACGCTTGACTAAAATGGATTTGGCTTCCCAGCCATCTTCCCCGCGTGTCATTTTGCTTTGCTCTGTTTCATTCGCTTCATATACAAAATATATGTATGCATAGGTCGATTCTCGTTATTTGACTTATTTAATTCCGTTACTGACTAACGCGATTTAAGTCGACGATTATATACGAGAATAATCGATAACAAACATTCGTACGATCTTGGAGTCAGATCAAACGGGCCACTAAAGTGGTGAGCCTGCTGACGACGAGCGCAACGCAGCAAGCTACGTCGATGAAGAAACGGCGGCACTCCATATTTTCGATGAACTAAAATGGTAAGCCCGCCTTCGAAGAACAAATTCAGCGAAGCCAGCGCAATCTCCAATCCGACGCAATCAGCACAGCCTGTACAACATGACATGGACGTGTTCACGTCGTATTATCTTATCGATACTTTGTTCTCACGTCAACTATTCTCATTGATCCATTTGTCGGGTTGTTCCATTACGATTCAAATTATCATTATATGCTTATTATCACATTATTGCCAATATCATGACCGAATGTGGAATTATTAATCTTGTTCGTGCTGTCATTAAGATATCTGGCAAGGGCTTTGAAAGAAGGTTCATCACCCACTAGATTCTTATTTGCTCCTTTATGAGTGACCTGTAGAAGTCCTAAGTTAAAGAAAACAAGAAATATTATCTACATTGTCTGATTATCTCTTAATATCACCATCATTTGCAAAAAAGCTAGTAGGTAACCAAATCAATATACTCATGAACAATCACGTCATACCACTCGAAGCCCGACGAGACTCTATTAAAGTGCAATTCATTTGCTCTGAAAATCTTATGGGCACGAAGTAACTAATCAGACTGTGGAAAATGGAAACCTACAAACCCTAGGATTCCATTTAGGAAAGACAACTAGCGTTCCTCATAGAGTAGCAGTAAAGTTCTTCTATGAGGCGAAATTTAGGATGGTAGAAGCACTCGGAAAGTACAAAGCGGATTAGCTAATTCTATTTAGAACTGGGATTCTGTATGGATTGGTTTAAAATGAAGAGAGAAATTCGAGTAGTCTAATCTCCCCCTTAATATAAAAACTGACTGGAGATAGCTGAGTTTGAGAAAGGTTCTCCCATTCCATGAAGTTCTGCATTTTCGCTGTTACAACTCACCTGTAAAACATGTAGTTTTTCAAAAATTTTACATGATCTACTTTCATTTTTGCATCAAAAGACAACTTAAAATAATTGGCCACGTAAGCAAGGTTTACCAGCAATCCTAAACAGTAATGGCACTGGACATGCATATCTATTAGTAACCGTGAAACTTTACAGCTTAAGTTTAATTTCACTGAACTCTAACTAAACTATCTGTCAAGTTGATTCCATCCATACAAAAAAAGACTGGTGACTGAACACTGATGACTAAAGAGGGTTGACCAATCAGTGCATACGATGGAGCATAGTCCCAATCTATGTTCATGAACTCTCGATAGTCTGTTCCGCTTATTGAGTAATTTCACTGGTAGTATTCTACCTATCTGCCATAGACATTAAGGAAGAGTAATATGCTGTTTGATATGCTGAGGTAGGTCAGGCTAAATGGTCGCAATATAGTATGACTTAGATTTGAAAATACCAAAGTTAAGCAGTCACCTCACTCCTGTTAAACTTGAATGGATAGAAGATATGAATTGAACGATATGTGTAAACGCTTCATAATAATCATTTTCCGGACATATACAATCGACCAGATCGTAATCCAACTATTTTAAACATCATTTTGTTATCTATTACCGTTCTTTAATAAAAGTATCAACAATATAACGATTGAGGTATTATTGAAAACACTTTTTTTACTGCTCACAAATCCCCCCCCAAATGAAATTGGACAAAAAGAAGAAATGCATTCCTGATTTATAAATATTATTAAACAAAAGAAACTCTTTAGATGAAAAAAAAAGAAGTAGGCAGTTATCCTTTACTCATATTTATTCATTTATCTGGATTGGATACATATATTGATTGTTTGTATATTCATGCTCAGGTTTTCAATAAGCAATGGCAATCAATGTAATTGTTTATCTTCTAAATTTATAAATATATATTTGTGTGTGTGTGTAAATTTGTGTACATATGTGGTCACTTTTAACTCCATATACGAGCTATTCAGTACAAACTATTGATTTTGTCGAATCTCTCTCACTCTCTATATATATATGTATAAAAACTTTTATACACTCGGCGAATATTATTACAGAGAATATAACTCAGGTCATTAGTACATAAATAATAGTGAAATTATAGAAAATAGGCGCTGAGATATTACAATCTGTTTATCCGTACTTTATCTATGTAGGTATGTAGGTATGTAAGTAGGTATGTATGTATACGTATGTAAATGCAAATCTCTTGAGAATTGTTTGAATGCACTTAAAGAGAAAGAATTAAGCAAATCATCAAAAATACTGTATTGGTAACTTCGTACTAGATATTATTTCTGTCTCTCTCCCCCCTCTCTCTCTCTTTATCTCTTTCCCTGCGGATTATTGTTTATAGTAAATAAATAGTTTTGTTCCTGATTTATATCCTTTTAATCTATCAGTATTGCTCGTAAAAGAAAAAAAATATGTATCACTATATGAATGATATCTTGAAATATATAAATATGTTAATAAAATCATTATTATTCTCCATTCTATTGTGCTACCGATACAGTATTATCATTCTCTGTGGTAGCACGATATTCAGATTTAGCACGAACAAACTCTCTGGCTACATCATCTGTATTAACACGTTGTGAAAGTACACGTAATACAGTCCATCCAGTTTCTGTAAAATGTAAACGTCGTCCTAAAGGAAGTCGAATTGGAGTTGCACCAAGATTTAATGCTCTAGATAAAGATAATACTGTGACACCAACAAGACGATCAGTTCGTCCAAAACAATAATCTTTTACAGATAAATGTAATTCATACCATTCAGGATCACTTTGATTGGATAAGAAACTGTTAACAATGCAAAAATGTCAAATATAAAATATATTAAGTGTTAGATTTTTACCTTAGGTGAATGCATATAGTGATGTTGTATTCTCCAAGGTAGAAAATTTAATCGTGAAGCTTTCATTGATATTCTGGACAATATCTTTAACGCCCACTTCAAAGTCATCAAAACAAGCTGGCACAACGCTTTCAGAAAAACTGAAAAGCCCACTTCTACGTAAATTAGGCACAGATGATTTTGTCCAGAATAACATTTATAGCTCTACAATTAAATTATCTAGTTCAAAGAGTACAACACCACCAAAATGGAAACATGTATTAAGATATAAGAATATATACAGGAAAAACGAAATCAACTGGTATTACAAACATTCTATCAGTTAAGTCATAAATGGAGGTAAATAATTGGACAATATAAATCGACTCACATCAAGAGATCCAAACTTCATGAGCGTAGCGGGCTAACTGGTTATAATCTATGCTCAAAAACATTAGATAACATAAGTTGAATTCAGATGACAGTAACTCTTATAATAACTCCGCCTGTAGCTCTTCTAGATTTACTGCCGGTCTCAAGTCCGGGTAAAGAAGGAGGGTTAGACATGGGGTTGGTGACCCCATCCCGTAGAAAACTAACTCGCTAAAAAAACGCTAACCAGAAAAATAAAACTCTTATAATATTAACTACTCAATTTTATGTTCTTATATTGTTCTTCTATTTTATATCTGGAATGCCTTGAATCATCTCAAGAATTATTATTATAGTGTTTTAAGTTCTACTTTTTATATAGATAACACATTGAAGAAACTTGTTTTCTTGATGTGGGCTATGTGTTTCAGAGAGAACTGTGAAGACTACCAAAGTAAATGACCTCATGCTCAATAATTATCCGATATACTATGTGTCTTTGCTCCATCTTAATAATAGGTTTATCTTCACTGACTTCGTTAAATTATCTCAACTTTATTTCAAATCTTCAAGTAGTCAAGCGTCAATATATACACACAAGAAATCATATATATATCATTTAACTGTAATCATTTTAAGATGAAATATCGAATTTATATTAAGTATATAAAAACAGTCGATACTTACAATACAAAGGTTTCGTGATAAATGGGCATTGTAGTAACTGATTTCGATTTTGTAGCAGCTTTACGTTTACGATCAGATAATAATGGTCCAAAAATATAAACTTCTACAAATGGTCTAAACATTCCAGTGGCAAGAGACCAATTCAAATCTGAAGCTGTATGAACTAATCAAAATATATATTGTATGTATAAAGGTATTGATAGTCACTGAATGATAACTGGATGCACGAATTACTTTAATTATATAACTGTATATTTAAGCGTATAACTGTTGAACGTCTAATACTAGTACATGTATTTAATCTAGTCATTCACAGATTTTCATCCCATTCACATTCAAGTTTTGTTAGATGGTTGCATGTGATACTGTGTGACTATGATGGAGTTTTGTTCTCTGAGATGGATGGTTTAGTCGTGGAGCTTTCAACGTTCTTCTGAAGTCTTCTATCTGAAGTTTGTGCTGATGATGTCGTTCAGAGAACAAAACTCCATCGAAATCATCCACGTGAGCTATAAATCTTCTTCACCTTCTCAATGCTGTGTGACTCAACGATTAACAAAACATTCTGTTAATTGTCTCTTTATTATTTGAAGAACCAACACTGTGCCGCATGCCAACCTATTTTAAGATCTTAATTACGCCTTCTTGACGAGTGTTAAATGGATTATACAAAATAACCATTCCAATATTTTATATTTTCCAATTGTTATCCGGTTTATTCCTTCCAAAAAATCAACAGTTTCTGAGAAGACCTTATAAGGACAGACATTCAATGAAACAATTACGAATTTTTCATTTAAGGCTAATTAATTTCATGTTATCAATATAGAGTTAAATACACTGACTGATCACTGACTAATGATCATGTTTTGTTGGTTTAGTCTTTAGTTATGACAATTCTGTCTATCAGTTTATAGTGTGTCGATTAATCTAAGTGACTTGACATTACTGTCGAAAAACAGTATTCGTAGCACCTCAGACAGTGCAACTGACTAAGGTTTCAATCCAACAGAAAGCATTAGTTCCCCTAAGATTACAAGCACGCCTTGTTGATGAATGCCAGATTGCATGAAACCTCGATCTACTAGCTTCAAACACCTAACTTGTCTGTGTAAAAATTAAGATTGTTTAAATATTTTTCTCAATCTACAGTGAATAATACTAAGTCATTTACAAAACGAAACTTAATTTCCCATAATAAGAACTAATTCATTGTATCGCTCCTATGAAAGAATAGTGATTACATTGAATCTATGCTTAAATGTGTTTAGTGTTAACTCGTATGGTTGCACCACTAATAAAATTTTGACCAATTTAAGCTCTTTTGTCCAACGGTTGTATAGGAGACCAAGTTGACAAATGTTGTAATTTAGTGATAGGAGTCTTGTAGAGGTTGGTTTAGTTTGTAAGTTTTACTCATCACAGATATCATTTGAGGTGCAATTAACAACCAGGAAGTATTCCATAGCTATTTCGTCCTATTTTAAGACTTCTAAACAGGGTAAACTCTAAACCTTATCAGATATTAAACTCAAGACATTTAGGTTTTGTGGCGAACATTTAATCTTCAAATTGTCTAAACATATCACAAACTGAATGAAGTTGTATTTGTTCCAATCCATCAGTTCTTACTGTTAAGTGTTTGCCTTGAGACCTAAAGGTTGTTACTTATAACCGAGGTGAATTTGTGAGCACCTCACAGTTGAAAAACCACATACTAGAACGAAATAACAGTCAGGTTTTCTCTGGTTTTCAACAGAACCCTAATTTCGATCAAATTTTGTTGAGTATAACTTTAAAAAGTTATAATTGTACTGTTCATAATCATCGAATACTATTCATGATCGAAAAGTGTAGGTAAACAACCAATAATAATAAATCCAATCAAATCATAAAGTTCACATTATTCCTCATTTAATGAGGATATCATCAAGGAAAGTCCATAAATGCATACATCATGTGATATGCATTGAGCATTTCAAAGAACTCCAAATTATAATTACAAGTAGATCACAAATAAAAGAACCTTTCACTTTTGTGTTAATCAATACATTGAGCCTTATTTTATTTTTATTCTGATACTCAATTAATTTCAAAAAACACTTATAACGGATTAACACTTAACTCTTTTACTTTCTAGCACATGGATAAGGCTCAAAATATAGTCTTTTTGTTGAATTGTTCAACCGGATCCTATGACGCAGTCATGAAAACACACAGCCTACTGAATATTTACATAATGGGATGAGACAGTATTTTCAGGTCCTCAATGGTTAACAAACTTAAATCGGTTCATGATGTCAATAAATTTCGAAAATCTGCACACATGTATCTATGTTAATAGATGTTTGAAGAAAACTGCTCCTGGTGATACATTTTTCACCGTCATCTGTGTGCATTTCGTTTGTCAATGTGATATATGCTAGTGAGCTATGATCATCTAGTTATTAAAGACAGATGTATCTAATCATCTTGACAAATGGAAATATTTTATATCTAACTCTCATTCAAGACCTCTACTGAGTGACTCCTTATACTTTGTATTAACAAACTTATCTAATCTAATCACTTTTTGACCAGATACTGTGTATGCTGCTATCATGTAACATACTTTAGTGATCTGTCTAATCTATCAAACCTATTATCTACATATAATGTCAGTAGTGTATTTATACTAAACCCATACTTAAACCGGTCGTACTATCCTGTGGCGAATAGCTAATCTTTTAATGTTTACGTTATATTCAATGTGTCATTGCATTACCGACATCTTATCAGTCAGTCAGTCAGTTAGTAACAACGTAGAAATTCGTATGTACGTACATCAGTTCGAGTTGCCATACCACATTAGCACAGAGATGCAGTTGTCGATTCGAATTCCGTAGTGGTAGAAGTAGTAAGAGTATAAGCAGTAATCGGAAAACAGGGCTTGAAAATGTTATTCAAGGGGTATAATCCATTGAAATAAATTTGGAAAGAGAAAAAAAGGACATGAAGAATTCAGAAGATTAGAATTTGGGAGAACACAAAGAGTGGATGCACCTGTGCCATTGCAAACGATTTTGAGCCATGTCATTCAAGGTCTCTAACCATCGGTTGCTATCATCTCGCGGTCCCCAACCAGGTAGTCTACACCTACCAACATGACTCAGTCCACTTGTCAGTGACTTCATGGACTTAAGAAGAATAAACTTTCTCAGAACTATTTGAAAGACATCATCACTTTTGCATGCCTATCTCCAATTAATAAAATATATATGTATATATTGTTTATTAAAATTTCGTAAGAGTATCAGAGATCTTCAATCTTCCTGTCGGCATTTTGAAGAATACAATAAACCAACTATATAAATTTATGGCTGACTGTGATATTATGTTTTTCATTTTTCTAGTATCGGACTACTAGTCAGTGTGTATACTCAGTTTTATGTTGATCCATTTCTGGTATTTAGACACAGAGTATACAATTAACTACTTGGAATATGATAAATTAAAACCATTGGTGTTTCATAGCAATGATACGTTTAGATTTTCTACAGTAAACTCTAACATCATCTGGATACCTACTGAGGTCTACTGGAAGTTTAAAAATGCGATAAGTCAAGAGATCGGGTTATATGCTTAATAATACCTCGTAACGAAAGAGTTTCGCTACAGATTTGCTAACAACAAACTTTGTGATTGATGATATTTTGTGATGGAATTTCTTTGAAATTATCTCCCGTCATATATCCTTATTAAATTTTGGGGAAATTTAGATCATTAAGTCTACCTAACACTATCCGAACAACGAATATATTTAAAGATACTGACCAGGGTTCGAATAGTAAATGATATTAGAAACCATACATATCTGGAAAACATGAAAAATGAATTAAAAGCTAGTAATATTTCGATAATGATATTAGAAGACGAAGATTATCAGAACTATGTGATATATTAGCGCAATACTCTTACCCCGTTTCCTGTCTAGTTGACCTTTTATTTTCATATATAAATGCTCTTAACAAGTATATGTGTGACCAGATTGTTCGAAATGTATTGCGCTAATATATCACATAGTTCTGATAATCTTCGTCTTCTAATATCATTATCGAAATTTATCAAAGGGACTAATTGTTTTAAATTTCTAGTAATATTTGTCAAGACAAGTATAAGTATGATTAAATGCGTTTTCCAACTTTTCCTTTCTGATCTTTTCAGCTTCATGTTATACAATCATAAGTTAATCATATTTGATTAAGTGTGGTGTTTGAATGAACTAATGATACCATTGTACTTGTTGAATGTTTAATTTCGAATTCTAAATTCAGTACATTCGTTTGTGCTTATCTAGTACTTCTTGATTCAATTGCATTATTTCCGAGACTCTTAGTTCGTACTAGAATTCAAATACTTAGAAACACTATAGTAAGTTCAATCCAAATGAGTCTTTAATTATATTTCTATACACCTCAAACTATGAAAAAAGAATACTTTAATCATTTCCTGATTCTGATTACATTTCACTCAGTTACTTGTTTTGATCAATAATGATTGTTTCCTTCATATAATTAGTTCCCTTTTCAGATATTTTTGTAAAGGACTTTAGTTTTTCGTTAACAAAAACAATACAAATAATCAACTGTTATGCATACTAGGCTGACGTTTGCTAATAGGATTAGGAATAGAGTTGCGAAGAAACTTGTGTCATCATTATATCCAAAACAACTGTTCACAGTCAAATGAATCTCGTATTATCCAAACTGATATACTAATAAATTTTTCTGATTCATTTTAATTGGCACAGAACAATAATGACTGATACCATGTTCAATTCACCAGCCACTATATGCTACTTATGTTGATATAAGTAGTATGTAGCAACAATCAGAAGTGGAATGCATGCCAGTAGAAGATTGATTAGATCGAATTGAAAAGAACAAAAATATATACTGTGAGTAATTGTAATAGAAACAAGAACAAATGGAGGATGAAATTTTTAGGAGACAACTGATGGAAGATGTTCAAATGAAGTATTTAATGTATAGTTTTCATATTTTAGTAAGACACTTTATAGTTTCACAATAATTTATAAGCTGGTTTTCCCCACCTTATCCTTCGTTCACTACATTGCCACTCATCGACAGAATAAGAAATACAGTGATAATGAGACTTGACTTACTTTTCACATTTACTTTATATTCACCGGTACCAGGGTGCTTGAAAATTTCTACTTGAAGTGTTAAGTAGCCAACTGGTTCCTCATTGGCCAGATAATCTTTAGTGAATAATAATAATTTAGAAAATACAACAACAAAAATGGGAATCAAAATCGTTTCTGTTTCTTATATATATATATATATATATATATATATATATATATATATATATATATATATATATATATATATATATATATATATATATATTTAAAATGTAGTAATAAATTTAACCCATTAAGATATGTGATTCATGGAGCTTGTTCAACCTGAGAATAGTTTATACAAAAGGTTGGATAAATCGAAAGTATCTAATATACACTCACGTTGAGACTCTTCCACGACCTGTCAGTACTTGAAACGTACTTGTTGCCTATAAACTACTAAGTTGCAACTCACGTAATTCAATGCTATCTATGGGTGTTCTCCTCACCCTCAATATGGCTTAATGCCATTTGTCATCGATTCTCATTCAAAACTTCAAGGAGCTCTTACAAGTACAATTAAGCAAAAAAGGAGTGCTTTTCCAGTTTAACAGATATTTTAGTCACTCGTTTGAAATCTAACAAAATGTCCGAACCAGAAAATTCAATGCTTTTAAAAGTAGACTTGTTTCTCTTGTTCAGTTGACAACATGACTAAGTGATTGAAAGTTGATCAAGAAACATTTTAAATGGGTTAACAGATGAATCCACTTTTTAATTACTGAAATTTCTAATCCCAAAAGTAATTGTACATAATAATCATTTTGATGTTGGGAACTTGGAGTTCGTAAGCAAAAAAACCTTGGAAGTGGTTGTCATATTAATTGGTATTCATCAGCTAAATGTATGTGAGATCTCCAAGAAATGTGAAGACTTGGTGAGTCTCACCAATCACCTTAGTATGATTGAGATCATGAACCAATTGATGTTAGACCACCATTTTTAGAAACCTGGAATCACTGGACGGCCGTTTCGTCCCATTGTGGGACTCCTCAGCAGTGCGCACCCACGATCCCGCTCGCGGGATTCGAACCCAGCGCCTTCGGTCTCGCGCGCGAACGCTTAACCAACTGGACCACTGAGCCGGCATCCAATGGTGATAGTGTCTAACATCAACCAATCCACGAAATTGCGCGACCAACTTCCATTGTACTGAAGTAGATACCTGTCTCTACCCGACATGGATTAGCTCCACTGATCACGGCTTCTCACTAGAACTCCGAGAATTCCCTCACGAAGCTAGTCACTAGTGAGCACATGTTGAGTACTAGTATAGAGGTTGTGGAGATTATTAAGTTTTTGATTGAGATCATGAACCAATTAATGTTAGACCACCACCTTTAGAAACCTGAAAGGTCGTGGTCTAACATCAATTGGTTCATGATCTCAATCAAAAACTTAATAATCTCCACAACCTCTATACTAGCACCTTAGTATGAATTAGATAGTTGGTAATTCAAGTCGATTTGGTAGATATTCATTGAAATTATATAATTTCAAACTCTGAACTAAAGTAAACAATTAATGTAGCCATAGTTCAATGAACAATTCAGTTTAAAATAATTATTCATTCATCATAAGTAAAAAATATTTTGTCTGTATAAAACAAGTCATTACCTTGTGAAGTTTGTGTAGCTATAAAATCTCGAAGTAATTCATCTGTAGCCTGAGAATATAGAGCTAATACTTGTCGTAAACTATGTAGTTCTGGACTTCTATCAAGAAACGAACGTTTCACACCACGTCCACCAGCATGAAAATATACACGAATTGTATTCAAGCAAATACCAAGTAATTCACATTGATATGGTGTAAGGCCTTTTTCTGGTTCACGTGTTGTTTCCTACAATACAATATAAATTTAAGTTACATATAAACTGCTTTCACCTATTCAAAACTGATGAGAGCTGAACTATCTAAAATCTATAAGTCATGGTAGATCATGTCTGGAGGCTAAGCCACCACGCACGAGACCGAAAAACCTGGGTTCGATTGCTACTTGAGGGATCATGGATGCTCAGTGTTGAAAAGTCTAATACTAGGATGAAGCGGGAGTTCAAAGATTCTAGATTGTCAAAGGTCCTCTTACAATGATTGGTTCATAATTTCAATAGATCATATGGTTGAATTATAACAAACAAAATTCTCCAATATCACCACCCCAAACACACTTTTGTTCATGTGAATTTTGTAGTCAAGGTAAACATGAAAATAGAAGAAATTGATAAGTCCCAAATAGGATGACACAAGAGTCCTGAATCCCACTACTAGTTACCATCCAAATTTAAAATTAAAATTGGTTATCTTACAAAAGTGAAGTGTTATCATCTTGTTAGTCAACATATGGTATTGTTCAATATTCACAGTTGAATTCCAACTGATAGAGCTTTTGTACTGAATTAGTGAGAACGATAAATCAGGTCATGCCATTCAGTTATTCATAAACAGTACCGGACCCAGTACAGATGAGATTCACATTAAATTTATATGCTCCACAACATACCAGTGTGTAAGAGAGGGAGAGAGAAAGAGGTACAGAAAAAAATCCATCAAATGAGAATCGCTTAGGTCGCAAAACCACTTGCATCGATGGCAGAAGAAAGATCTATCACTACTGAGACGCCAGATATGGAGAGAGATTAAGAGTGAATACATTTGGTTGTATTTGATTCATATGTGAATGAAGTTGCGAAACAGTCGATGACTTAATCTATGAAGTAACTAAGGTCAACACTAACTGGAAAAAACAAATTCCACTTCAGATCCACACGACATAACAACAAAATGTTAAATAATTGTTCTCATAATCTTCAATTGTTTCATTCAGCTAGTGATTTGAACATTGAAAAATAAACCAATGAATTTAGACTTGACTTATTAATGAATAATGATTCTTCAAATACTTGTTTGTATTATTTTCCCTGTCTTACTATTTAATCATACCCTTTTATAGGCAAATTTATCAGACTCCGTTCACATTTGATCACTGATTAACTTTATATATTTCCTTATATTTATCCCACAGTGTAACAAGTTCATTTGACAACACGATATTAAAATTCCATTGTAATATATTGCGAATGTTATTATTAAGTCTTCCAATCAAAATCTCGATATGATTTCCTATCCACTTTTAGTAATTCTGGACTAAATATAAACAACCTGAACACAAGAGAAAAGGTCGAAAGTCCCGAAAGAAGTTTTGCTCCAGTGTTAAGGTACACATAGAAGATCGTGTGTATTCATACCTTTTAAGGTGAACTTAGTCATCTAGAAAGTTTTAGGAGTATACTAAATATACCAGAGGAAGATAATTATTCAATCAAAAACATGACATGTGATCTGTCACCCTTCTAGAAGTTTCAAAAACACTTTTATTCAATACAAATTCAATAAAATATTTCACTTAACAATGATATTTCATACAAGAAAATGAATAGATGAATTATGTGAGTGAACGTATGGATGAAGTTCGAATTGACTTCATCATTAAATTTAATAGTATTTGGATTAATAGGGATATCAAACAATGTGTGAATTATTGAATAAATTTACATAGAGTTCATCAATATACAAAGAGATAAATAATCATGCATCTATACAAAAAGCACATACTGATAATTAATCATCTCTGTCACTACCTGTTATGCCCCGATAAACATAATGAATGGTAACTTTGGGATCCATTTATGGACCAATACTATGTGTGTATTTTTTATCGTATAATTGTTAATTAACTTAACTATTCATATTCATGTCTCTCTTATCATAAGCTTTATTTTAACCTATGAACTGTTATTCTACGATTTACCATTCTTGAATTATGCCCTGTCTATTAATCACTACCTCCCGTTTGGCTAAATCGTGTAAAAATGTTATTTACTATTTTATGGTACGATGTGGTCTGTCTGGTTGGTATATAAACCGAGTATGTTTGAAGTATGTGATTGATATCGCAGAGGCTGAGATTAGTGTTTTGGACTCAACTGGCTGGGCTAGGCAGGAAGCAGGACCGATAAGTAATCTAGACTGCTCGCATGGTTTTAGGCGTCATTGTTTCGATCGATAATTCACTACTCTCTAGTTGGTGGTATCATTAATTTATACATTAACAAGGCGCACAGGCCACAAGTTATTCAAATGCAAGCTGAGCTTTTATAGGCAATTGTGCATAAACTAGATAATCAATTGAATTCAACTATGGATCCTAGATTTCATGAACAAGAAAACTTACTATGAAGGTATGGATCAGTAAACTTTAATACTCGAGAAGCTAAGTGAATCAGTTTATATATATATATATATTTTGGCACGAAATTCATTCATTTATTTCGGAATTTTAGTTTGTCAGTTTGTGGTGAAAACCCTAAATCTAATTCCAAACAATAACCGTCAGCTTTAAATCATAATTCTCATTCCTCAAAGTGGTTTATAATACTCTTTTCGTCCTAGTTAGTAAATGGACATTCTTAAGGTTACTTTAGCGTCACCCAAAGGTTGTCCATAGATTACAGCTTCACCATTTATCCTTATTGTAGTTTTTCAACTAACCTTCATTTTACTGTTACATCATCTTTCAACCATTCAGAAATCACAGTTAATTAACTCTCATCCTTCCTTGGCTTTAATTCCTTTAATGGGACCTGCAAGTTTGTTACTTAATTTTATTTCAGAAAAATTTCATCTACAGTTTATTCTAAACTGGTATGTTATGCAAAGAATTAAGTAGATTTTTGAGTCTAAATAATAATAACACACAAGAAATCGTACACGATCAAATACATGGAACTCAACTAATCTTTACAGTGTTATGATGAATAGGTTTAAGGAAGGATGAGTTTTATTTGCAAACTATCGCATATCTTGAAATACGGTTTTGTGTAGTGTTCATGCATTGAGCGTTATTAGTCCAGGTGGAAATCAAAATACAACAGACAACCATTCTTCTCCTTCTTCATGCATCGATTAAATTTTCAGAGTTTGCAACAAAAGATAGTTTTGTTTAGGTTCTTTATCTGATTGGACACAGTTCAGTGGTTATGATTCAATTCAACCTAGCTTTTAAATAAATAGTATATTTGTAATATCCAAATGAGTAGAAAAATTAGATTTTCTGACGTTTCATGGCTTAGTGTAAGTCACTTCTTCAGAGAATAGTTTTGTTGATCTTTTCGGGTACAAGAAATAGTTTAATCACAAAAGAAACATTTTTAAACCCTCCCACATTGTTTCTAGATCAAATACCTTGATATCTTGATCTCTACTAAATAACCTAATGTTAATAGCACTGAACAAGAGTTCTTTCTTTAAACTAATGATAAACTATGTTGTTCAAAATTTAAGTGAACTACAGAAGACTATGATTTCACAAAAACAAAGTTATTCAACTTACAGATAAAATTTTCCCCTGTACAACTTGACTACCAACATGACTTAATAGGCTTTGTGCCCCACCAATTAACTTCGCTGATGTATTTGAGCTTAAAAGTAATCCCGTAGCCAGCTAAAGGGAAGAAGAACACAATTTTATTTCATATTAGTTAAATGTTAACAGTAAACTGATAGACTGTGCTGTTTCAGACTAACAATATACCTTTGTTCACGTGCTATCGTAAGGATAAACTACAGGCGAGAGATAATGAAGAAGGCACGCTATTAGATAAAATCGATTATACACTTGTCAAATTCGTGGCCTATACATACTTGTCTAAATAAATGATTTGTGTACACTTCATTCGGTGTCGCAGTTGCAAACTTGAAGATGTTTCTTCATGGTATGAACTTATTAACAGTTATCTTGTTCCATGGATTTCACTCAATGATGAAAAATAGAGATATAAATTCAGTTTATTTCTTTCCGTTATTGAAATCATCTAGTGATTTGTGGTGATTATATTTAACCATAGAAAAAAAGATTACATGTTATAAAAGTAAACAGATCCCCCTTGGAAGTTGAAGAATAAATATCGGTTACTAACTAACCATTATCAACATTCATTAAATCTAACCAAACTTTATGAATCAAATTTGAAATGCTTAGGGTAACATGAAACTAGGATACTAGGCTTCATAACGTTTTGACACAACTAAAATGAAATTTTAATTCATTTAAATAGTGATTCACCTGTTATGGTAGCAGCAATGTAAACTTTCCTCATAGAATTCTGTTAGCATCATAACCTAAACATTAAAATAATAATTTCCATGGTTGAGATCAAGAGTCAATTGAATCTAGACCACCATGGAAAACCTGAAAGCACTGAACAGCCGTTTCATCCTATTGTGGGACTCCTCATGATCTCAACCATTGAAATCACTATAATGTCCACGAAAAAACCCCTTCTGATATTAAGGTATTAGTTGATATTTAAAGACTAATTAGAAAATGTCTCTATTTTTCTATGAGCAAACGTTTGACTATATTAATATAAATTATATCTTTGAAGTCTTGAATGAACAGAAAAATATGAAAGACCCATGTCAATTTGGGTTTACTATGAAGCCAAATATAGTAATACAACATTTATTTTGTTTAAAAAAGGTATACGCTAAAAGTCTATGACATTCAACACAAAGTTTATACCAGTTGCACAAGCTAGTGACGATTTGAACACAGTAGTTTTAAAGGGTAGCAAGTTCGGCATTTGAAGCAAAAAATATTAGACCCAAGTATCGGGGTGAACACGAACACTTGCATACAGGTACATCTAGCTGATAGGTCTTAAATATCATGAAGTGTATTCTGGATCCCACACAACTTTATGATGTGAACCTTTCCTTCATTATATTTGCTTAAATTCAATTCTGAAAGACTTAGTTCACAAAAAGAAATAACTTCTTAACTCACCGACATGTTCGAAAGACTGATTTTGCGTTCAGAACAATTCCTAACCTTAAAACGAGATTCTTCCTGATGAAATCCAGTTTAATTTAACGTCTAGTAGCAGTAACCATTTTTCACTTCTTACTGGTTACTGAAAATGATTTAATGTTATGAACACAACAAGTCTATAAAAATGCAAACATAGCATATTCCGAATAGTGACTAACAATGTAATTAAAGGCTCGGGTTTTGTCCTGTTTTAGACGTGATAGCCAGATTTGTTTATATTTCACCTTTAGTGTTTACACTTAGATTCGGACTAAGTAATCATTTGTCCAAATGCTAAAGTGTTACCTACTAAGCTACTGAGTCAAGTCTGATGCAATGGGCACTGGATTGAAATCTTAACCTGCAAACGAACATTGAGATCCAAGTACATTTACATTGTAAGTCCTGTGCAGAACAAAAGTCCATTCTTCATTTTATCACTAACACCTATCTGAAACTCACTTAACTTGTGACTGAATATGTTATCAAGAAATTTGTTCAAAGACGATGAATGTCAACAGAACATTATCAATTATTTCCTGAACATCACCAAAAAATAATGTTGCTCAGAATTTATAGATCAAACAAACTAATAAATGATCGTTTCTCTTCTGAAAATTCCAGAAGTAAACGAACATAGATTTATGTAACATTCAATCAACACAGAATGTACACATAAATTAAAATATGAAGAGGTAAGAAAACTATTTACCTGTTTTTGATCAGTAACTGCGGGTAGTACAACAAGTTTTTCTAAATTACACATTGTTATTCGCCATAATTGCTTGAAAAAATTAATGTTTGGAAATACAAACACAAATAATTAAACAAGAACGTTGACAACTATTCTAATGTACTGTTTGGTATAACATGTATGTATATATATACAAGCTTTACATTTTGGTGGAGTTTTGTTCTCTGTTGGGATTGATTTCAATATATATCATATCATATTGAAATCAATCCCATTTATCAACTAATCAGAAAAATCATGCACAAACATAAGAACAAAAATCAAAACAATGGGAGACACAAGCAAAACAAAGAAGTAAACAATGACGAATTTAAGGTCAATAAGAACCAATCAACATTGAGGTGCACAGAACAAGCTTTGAAACACATATGGAGAAATTCAAACACTTCACTTCTATTTGAAGTTTGTGCTGATGTCGTTCAGAAGGACGATGAAAGCTCCACGACCAAACCATCCAGCTCAGAGAACAAAACTCCACCAAAATCATCCACCTGAGCTACAAATCTTCTCCACCATCTCACAAGCTTTACATTGTCAAAAAAACAGTCTAAGAAGTGTACACTTATATGTGTACTTATTTGGGGAAAACGAATGAGTAACATAGGGAAAATGGGCAAAAATTAAGTAAATCTTTCTTATTTATAAAAAGCAATACAATCTACTTAAGAATAAACAAAATAAATTTTGTTCAGTGTAATTAGAGTTTAACAATAGGATATTTCATACACATAGTTCTCTTTATTATTTTAAAGAGAGCAAGAACAAAGACTGGTACAGTATATGTGGGGCAAACGACACCTACAAGGTCGTAGGTCATTGTAAGTAGAATTATCGATCATCATCTTCTTCAAGAGTTCTCTGAGTACTTTCGTGATTCTTTTCTCAGCGGAATCAGTTAAGTCTTTGTTACTTTTTTCTAACTTCTGTTTCTATCTAATTGACTTCACTGTTGATAGATTATAGGGAGAATTTCAGGGGGCTTCCGGGAAACCAAAGCATAATTGTTCCTTTGACAAAGATACATGGAAATTCTTGTATATTTTGCTTTGTTTGGATAAAGTTGATAAATTTCACGCGACATACGATACTTAGATAGTTGACTAATTCATCAAAGGCATTAGTTTCTGTACTAATCTTTGTTCTTGCTCTCTTTAAAATAGAATATTTGTTAACAATCTCGTTTGAAACAAATTTATATCCTCACTATATAGTACAACACACTTATCACTGATATTCATTATTCATATTTGATATACTTTGTACATGAATGCTTGACAACAACTTCTAACCTCTCCTTAACTTCTTACTAATCTTCTACACTTCAGCCTTGAACAGAAGACAAAAGGTTAAAAGTATGAAAAGATGCTTCACATCATAGGTTAGTTTACATACAGAAAACAAGGATATTTATGGGTTTATATGTGATTTTAATATTTCAAAAGTTTCCTATGGTAATAATTCAGTAATAATCCATCGATTTTCTAGTATTCACTAGGAAATTTCCACTAAACTTTAGTCGGATAAAAACGTTTTTCAAGCATTTCCTCAGATTCTGTAAACTTTCTTGAGAATTTTATCTTAACTTTCAATAAATTTTTGTAAATCACAATACATACCTTTAATATTCTTTTTAATACAGTTTTATCACAGACATTTGCTAGTATAGATAGAATACTTTCAAAATGATCCATTAGCGGTTGTAAGCATTCGTTTGCTTCATCTTCTTTACTGACACCACGACCAGTTGTATTATCTGAACCATTCGATGGTCTACACTGTTAGAAAAAAAGTATTATTATTATTATTATTATTATTATTATTATTATTATTAGTGTTATTACTATACAGACTCAAAACCAAACGCAGTTAAAAGCATTTCAATAGTCATATATGTTATAACAAAAGTAGGCAAAGTTGTGGTTCCCAATCCAACTCAATACCAGATCACTCGATTATAGATAAATGTATCAGTAGGACTAAACATGAAACTGAACAGTAGATAAATAAAAAAAAATTTAGATCAAAATACTTGATTGAATGATACACTCGATTCAATTATCTGATCAACGATCAACAGTCGGATATAATTGAGAATCAATAGTGAACAAATGAAGTCAGAATAGAAAAAAAAAATAAAAACACTTTCATACATGAAACAGTCTTTTATATTTAACGTAGTTGAATATGTATACATTAGATGATTGACCAATTACTTGATTATTTTCACCTGGCACATCAATAAATTACATAATAATGGAAATAAAATAGTATATCTTAATGAGTATTAGTGGTGATATAATATCAATAGTTGAGATCATGAGTCAATTGAAGCTAGACCACAATGGAAAATCCGGAAGTACTGGACAGCCGTTTTGTCCTATTGTGGGATTCCTCAGCAGTGTGTAACCACGATCCCACCTCGCGGGATTCCAAACCAGGACCTACTGGTCTAACCACTAGACTACTGAGCCGGCATCCAGTGTTGTTAATGTCTAAATTCAACTAATCCACCATTATCTTCAATGTGTTACTATCTCACAACAGACCTGGTTGAACTTCACTAGAGACAGCTTCCTAATAGAACTCCAGGATATACCTCTTGAAGTCAGTCACTAGTGAGAATATGTTGATTAATATCAGAAGGGATTTTGTGGAGATTTTATTAATTTCAATAGTGATATAATAATTGAGAAAAAGGCATATCACTGATCTGACATTCATTTTTGCACTGATAAATGTGTACCAATACATAACTTATTGACGAATTTAAAAGTGGTAAACATGAGAAAATGAAGAAACACGAATTGGGATTTCTGAATAACCCCACGCGACTAAAAACGTCACAAAATTTAAGAATAAAGAATTAACTGCCTAAGTAAATGAGAATGTAAAAGTATGGACAATTGTCTAGCTTTTCTACTGAAATACTTTTATTCTTCATCAAAGTTAATTTCTTAGATGTACCCATATGGTTACAACGCACTCTATAACGTTAGTCTTAAATCTAATCCCCAAGTCCGAACCCTAACTTCAAATCCTATCCTAACTACATCTTGGGTTTTCAAGCAATAAAATATCCCTTTTTATCATTTGCATTTTGATTGACTAAAAATAAAACGTAGTTTCTCGATGTATTTTAAAGAGCTGATAAATGTCGTCCCTAAAGCTACCATTAAAGACTAACATCTTTTGTTCATTTTTAGAGATTATCAACATTGTATAGTAACAGTTTACATCAGTTATTCATTATAGGCTTACGCCAATTGATGAACCGGAAAATGATTGATTGAATCAATTTAATCAGATATAAAAACTGAGCTGTTGATTAATCATTTTAAGTAGTATGGATAAAATAACGAAATAAACAGGCGGTTTTTTATACAACACACTCATTGAAGTGTAGGCGTTAATGAACAACATAGAATTCAACACAAATCCCTGCCAACCTAAGGTATCACACTTCAAATCAATTACAGTGAAAGAAATTTGACTAAGATAAAAGAGGAGAGGTAATGGTGGCAATGCACCAAGTAATGCGAAATCAATAACAAAGAATATTTCAAAAGAAAACATGAATAACATTAGATTTAAAAGTAAATGACAGTACTTAGCTCAAACTTTTTAAAGAAAATACAGAACAATTATTTAAAGCTATGTTAACCAGTGTTTGAATTCAGGGGATCTGTATTTTACAAAGGAATTTAAGACACTAATCATTAATTTCATGTGGTAATATCGCCTTGCCTAGATCTAGTTCACTCCTGGCCTTATTTTGAACTTATTCTTTTCTTAACCAGAGAAAATACAATATGGGGTTTGTGTTCGTTGTACCCGAATAGTATATTGCTAGGTTTGACATACTTTTTGTGATCATCCAAAAATGTGTTCTTTTCTTTTTCTCTTTCTCTCTTTTTCTCGTTTTTTTGACTTCATATTTGTTTTAACTTTGTACCAGGGTAATTTTTCTCTTACCCCTAGATATACTTCATAATGTAAACAATCTTTTGAAGTCTGATCCAAACCTTTAATCATCATGAATTTTCAGTTTCCTAATATTAAATGGATAGACCAAAATACAAACCTTTTTTCAATGAATCAACTAAATTTTATTAAAATTATTACCATAGAAAATTGTGCAAAGAGCCTCCGTCGAAATCTTCAACTAGACTAGTCACTAAACTAGCTCTCACATCATTCCAACTCAATCTGTCCAACAAAATTGTAAAATCTAGATAGCAAACAACGTTTAGAAGGACATGCTCAATGGAACATGAAACTTCAATTACACAAATAGCAATCAAAATAGTAAGAACTCAGTTTCAGTGAGATTTATATATGTATATATGCATGTACAATCAATTAACCACTGAGTAGCGACCGGTGTCATATTTGTCAAGCTCTCTGATGTTGATCGTAGGAGTAGACAAGCATGACATCGGTCATTACTTAGTGATCAATCAATTGTTGTAAACTAAGTGAGTAGCTGCTCGAACAGTTCAAGGGTAACACTTCACTATGTGGGACTTCAGGACGTGGGTTCAAATTCATCAGAAAACACCACTTCCCGGGAATACTTTGTTGACCAATGTCAACTAACGCAAAGCTTAAGATCAAGGTTTCATTAAGACACCACCCACTTCAAGTGAGCGGTGTCACAAAACAATGAATAATTTGTACCAAACAAAATTCTGCTATCTCAACTAACCTTCTGTAAAAGTTTGCCACATTCACGTGCATGTAAACGAACCCCGGGTTCGAACTGATCAGTCAGTTGGATAGCTAATTTATCAACTACTTCATTTAATCGACCTTGAAGAGCACTTAAACGATCTCGAGTGTTGGATTCAAGACTGAAAATTAAAAGAAAAAAAAAAGTAAATTGCTTGAGATTAAAAAGTTTACTTCTGGTCTTTGTCAGTAGTATTTGTAATATGATAATACTGTCATTACAATAGAATCAACAGTTAGAAAAGCATTATTTTCATCATCCCGTAACCTTTTAAATATACTGAAATTATAAACGATGAAGTTGGAAATAAACGCAATTCGATTAATTATTCATAATAAATTTGATCATACACTCAATCTATCAGTCACTTAAACTACCGTATTACTGATGAAGCTAAATTACATAACGTTGTCGTTTACAGTATTTAATGTAGCCAAAATTCCTAATGTCAAGTGATTTACTTTCAAAAGTGTCATATTAAGGCACAACTTTATGAAGAATGATTACAAGATCTAAAAAAGTTCTTTCTGATGGATAGACACAAGTTAAACTCTATCAATAGGCATGAGTACTACCAATATTATAAGTAGGCTTTGCTGACAAGTGCCAAATGGCATGAGATCTAAATCCAAGGTTTCTTGTTAACTATCTCCAATCACTTAACATCATAGAAAGGTAGATCTAGACAAATATTTGAAAAGATTAATATTACGAAAACAGGTATTTAGTCTATTCCGTTTTCTTTTTTGATGATACTCCAACTAATATCAACATCCATTGAATACTACTCTCATATTGAGTATATCAGCATAAACTATCAGTTTAACTGAAACCTAAATAAGTAGGTTCTATTTCATAAATGCTGATTATGAGCTACTCATTTGAAATAAGTTTCAAATTTTAAAGAATAGGCCCTCTTATGATCTCCTTCATTTCTCTATAGTTATACTATCAACACAGGTTAGTAATAAGAATTTCATTTCAAAATAATTAATTATGAAATTACTGTTCATGATGATTTGGTGTAATTTTAAACCAGCTACCAACAAACTAACTAATCAGAAGGGGTTTTATGGAGATTTTAGTAATTTCAATAATTGAAATCATGAGTCAATTGAAGCTTAGTTGAAATTAGACATTAACACAGTTGAATGCCGGCTCAGTGGTCTAATGGGTAAGCGCTCGTGCATGAGACTGATAGGTCCTGGGTTCGAATCTCGTAGGAGCTGGGATCATGGATGCTCATGACTCATGATTTCAACTATTGAAACTGACTAATAAAAAGTGAAGTGCTTATTGGTTCTCTGTTCCATCCAATTTAATTTCCCTTGAAATAAAAAAAAGAAAAAAATATTTTTCTTTCAAATAAAAAACCGGCCCAGTAATAAAAACATGGATTGATTTATCTACATTTTGTCAGATTATCCAGGTTTATTTTCTATTTTCTCAATTTATAATCATTTTTTTTCAAATGTAAAAAACCATTATCCTTTAACTAATTTATATTTGATAAATAAATAACGATATTAATCACTAGGCAAAAAATTTTTTCGAACAATTATCAGTATAAGGTTTGTGAGATTGTTGAGTTTTGATTGAGTCGATCAATTTTAGACCACCATTGAAAACCTAAAAGCACTAGACGGTCGTTTCATCCTAGTATGGAAACCCTCACCATGATACCGCACATGGGACTTGAACCCAGGACCTTCGATTCTATTGGCCTAGAAGTTAAACGTTCGCGCGCAAAACCTCAGATTCTTGATCTGATTACCATATGAGGGACAGTAGATGCTCACTGCTGAATAATCTTATAATGGAACAAAGCGGGCATCCAGTGATTTCAGGTTTTTAATGGTGGTCTAATTTTGACTGGTTCATGGTCTCAATTATACAATTGTCATCAGAAAGTTAATTAAATAGGAAAAATGAAAAACTAACCTTTCACGTGCCATATTCTCATAAACTTTTTCTAGTTGAACACGAAGTTGTTGTGTATTATTTACTAATATACAAGCTACACGTTGATCCGTTTTGTATGTTGAGAAATCAGCTAACACACGATCAGCATAAGCAAGGAGAACTTTTTCAACAGTCTAACAATTTTAAAATAATATAGACGTAAAAGGATAAATAACAACAAAAAAATCAAATGACATCGGATGAATGAAATCTTGTTGATATAAGTCAGTGATAATCAACATAGAATATGGTACACATTTGAACTACCTTTAATTACCATACCATATTAGCATGACGAGATTTAATTTACTAGATGAATAGTAAATGAATCAAAATAATGCAGTATTAACGGTAATGAGAAGGACTAAACATAGAGAATATATTTGGAAAATGAGAATGAAACGATACAATCTGTATAAACGAATAATGGAAATCAATATCTAGGGTAGGATAGTGAGAGAGTGCGTTTAGAACATTATGATGAACTCTAAGAAGTGTCACATAACGTTCCCACTCATTAATTGTAGTTATCACAATAGCCGCATCCAGGTAGTCGAAATCTACCATCACGACTTAGACTAACAATTAATGACGTCATGGACGGATTCTACGTTTTGGTTTGAAGTTTCTTTGTTTTCTTCGAAAATAATCCTTTATGAGCCAAAATCGGGCATTGATAATAAGCAGTGATCAGGCATGCACCACATACCCAACTACCTTGGTTGATGAAGCTCAACAATCATATCAGATAATTTATCATCTTTTTCAAGTACCTCTACACTCATTATTGACTGTATTATTGTCTAGAATGACAATGATGTCTTCACCATCAAACTTTTTTTTAATTTCACAGAATATAAAACCGCAAATAAAAGTAACCGCCAAAACTATAAATCCTTATCGTTATTTCCTATTTTCATTTTATCGTTTTCATAATCACTATCTTTGAACGAACCATATATACACACACACACTCTCTCTCTCTCTTGCTCTCCCTTTATCTCTGCATACCCAAACTTAATTCACTTCTTCGTCTTTGTTTTCTTCAATAACTCTACATGAATAGAAATTTTCACTTAGCGATTCACTAATCTGACTACTGAACTTATCAATTTGTTAATTAGTTGATTTTTAATAAATCACTTTGTTCTACTATGAATTATGTTGTCATTTCTATTCTTTATTCAATCACAAACCATAGAAATGTATCAATCAATTCATTTTATTTATATTTGTTATTAAATAATTAATTACATGAAACAATACGTCAAATGAAGAAGTGTTTTTTTGTCTTTGTTTTTATTCTTCTAGATGAAGTGTTCTCTTGGTTGAATGTGGTAAAAACCAAAGAACATACAAAGCTTAATCAAAGACTGGTTATAATTAGGCATATTAACCATTGTACATTCCGACTATATAGCTGAATTATGTGATAATATTAGGTGTGAAGCACTTTGAATAATTGAAATCTCTCTATCGGTGATATGAGCAACAAGACCATGAGTTTGTAGTTCTAATGAATCATAGAAAAAGTAAGAAAAAACAGTTGTAAGGTGATTTGATGTAGTCGATAGGACCTTGAAGATGGACCTAGCTTTCTTATCATTATAGGTATCCGTTAACAGAGCGCATTGTTCGAATCCACTAGAGAACATAGTGCAAGCGATATCGAGCCATTCAGACTTTTAGCGGCATTGAAACTTAGGCGGTAGCAATTGATAAGCATTAAAAGACTAGACCATCATGACATTAACCAATACTTCACGATCAGTAAATTGTAGATATTTCAATCTTGACAGTAGTCACTTGTAATCTGAATAGCTCATTGATAACGTCACAAAATACAAGACTGGGGAACAGAAATTTAAGTTGACTCGAGGAGCATGATTTTATTCAAGATTACAGGGACACCCTGGTGACACCAAAGTCAGGCAGGATTTTTAGACAATCAACTTTAATCACCTAACATCTTAACATAGTTGACACGATATCGAGTCACTTAGACTAATAGCCACATTGTAACTTGATAGAAAACACTAGCGAAATAGGACACTAGTCAGTAGTCAGTGATTAATAATTTGAAGATAAAACTAGTTGTTTTGTACTTTTTGAACTTCAACTATTTTCAAGTTTATGTTCGTTTGCGTGATGAATATTCTGTTGAAAGATCAAACTTAACTATTTAATTAACTTAACTAATCAAATATAAATTTTGAGTGATTAATTGTATAACAATAAAGACTTATGTAAATCTTAATGGTGTTCAAATCAGAATCCAAACTTTCTTTAATTAGTTCACCTAAATCATTATTATAATTGTTAATTAGTTTCCATACAAACAATCCATTCAATTTTCAGTGTATTTATTTGCTTAAAACTGACTTCACATTTATTCATCGTTATCACTAAATGATTATACATATATACACATATGGAGAGAGGTATTCTGTTCAATTAACATCTATTAGTTTCCCTCTGTTGACCAGATAATATATGGTGATTAACTGATTGGCTAGTGACTCCTTTCTCTCACTTCTTCCTATCCACGCAATGACAACACAGATCTAGCCTATTGAAAACTGGATGTAAAATTGTAATTTTGTATAAATTGTCATGATTGACAGTTATATAAGAGAAGAATTTCTTTGTATAAAACTTACCCTGTCTATTGTGACATAATCAGTTGTATACGTTTAAACGGTATAAGTTGTGTGCTTGGCTTTAAAATAAGGTTAACCAGTTTAGAAATAGTTTAGTAACTAGCTCATTTCAGTACATAATTATTTGATGAAGTTAGCTGTTGAAAAAAATTTTTATTTCCGTAAATTTGTTTACAATTACACGCAGTTATTTAATCACTCATGTAGATCCAATAGTTAAGGAATTTACTTACCAGTGAGAATCTATGAAAAAATTGTCCTTCAACTTGTTTATCTGGACATTCAAGTTTACGTATAACATCGAAACATTGATTCAGTTGAGTGAATACATCAACAACAGAATTTGAATAGAGTACATGTTCACTAGAACATTGAAAACCGTCTTGTTTGTCACGATCATAAGCATTTCTTAAATAATTTGCAGATACTTCATCATTCTCAGCTAGCCAAATCAATACAAGACCTTCAAACCAACTGCAGTTTATGAAAAGAATAAAAAGTTACAGAATGAAAACTAAATTAACCGAACATCAAAAACTGTAATAAACTCTGTAGTTATACAGATATAATGTAAGTAAATATTGTCTAGTCTTATTTTACAAACTAAAAACTGGTGATCACACTAGGTACCAGCTAAAGGAACAAACATAGCACCTTAATTCTACTTTCAGAACATAGTTATTTTTTAAAGATCTTCAAGGATTTCAAAAATAATAAAGGATTAAACACTAAAACACTATGAACAGTTGAAAGGTTTTTATTCTTCAAATAACGTTAAGTACAGGAAATTACATTTCATTTTTATACTGTTAAGTTTGCCACGTTAAGGATGTTGCATGATCGAACTTATAACCAGTTTATAGACTTGCACAAAAATCAACGATCCTTAAACTTTGAAGGATGTTAGAAGGTGGAAAAGCGATAGAAATTTCGCTTCAGGAATTAGATCAGTCAAAAAGATCAAGTCAGAACCAATAATCCTAAGATTATGAAAGCTTCAAGTAAAAACTTGTACTTAATGATTCCCTAAATGTTTAATTAGTCAAACTAATGAAAAACAATTTAACTGTTACTCGATCTTTTAGATTTTGTTAGACAGATTTCTTAAGTTTTCGACAGATTCGGTCAAGTATAGTTTAAAGAAACAGGTGTAACCACTATTAGGTACAATATTAGTACGATCAATATTCATAAGAAAACAGGAAACTCAGTATTGATTACTGTAATAGATAATGGGTTCAAGTTTAGGGAATACTTAAAAACATTCAGTTGATGGATCTTAATCAGACAAGATAAAAATCTTGATTTTTCGAATAATTAACTCCTTTGTTATTATTAATACGTTACTGTCATTTCATTCAATCATTAGTTTGTAATTAGCCAATACTGAATAATTTTCTGTACAGATAAACCACCAACGTACGTCATGACAGAACGACCTAATTCGTTATTAAATGTCTATCCTAGTTTCAGTTGTACTAAATACAATTGTGGAATGTCACAAAATTCAAGAAGTCTACAGATAAAGATGTTCTTATTCTGAGTTAGGAGAATATGTAGGTCATTTTGAACAACTAGTTATATATTCGTGTGAGTTTTATAGTAGAATAAATGAAACGATATTAAGTCCACCTGTTCAATGCGCAGAAACAATTATAGGCATAGCATATATAATCAGCAGAATATAAAATAATCTAATGTTCAACCAATGGCTAAGAAAAAAAATGCTCCTGTGCTATAGAAATAGATCATGAGTCTTTACAACCAGAATTTCAACTCATCCAACGGTTTTATTTGTCAATGGTAACAATGTTCATGCCAATCATTATCAAAATATTCTATATTACATACTGAAAATTATTTTAAAAAACCCAAGATAAATTGAATAATTACTTCAACAAAGTTTATAATGAGCGCCTAAAACCCAGACAAGAATTGAACGGTGCAGTAATGGTTAATGCATTTGATATGCAACCATTTAGCCAGTTGTCTAAAACCCATTCTACTTTGGTTTTGAGTGAGTGATCAGTATCACTAGCCTTCGAAACGATGTATATATATAAATCTAGACTTGATAAATGAGTCACATCAATGAAATGTTTAAAGGTCTTAACGCAGGACCTTTGAACTAACATCAAGCAGGCCAGTTCACCATTGTTTTTTAAATGATGTAAACAATTGTTAAGTTGATTAACCGTCAAAAGAGATCTCATCTAACTTTGAAACATCACAAATCGATAACATTTCTCGTATCTTTTCATTCTCAATACATGGATTTAACGTTTGATAGAAACAACTTTTCACTTTATTTCAAATTAATGAGTTAAATGATTCATTTTTAGTATAGCAGATTTGTGGGGATCTTTAAATCTTGTATTCTACATCTAATATATGAAGTAGTCACTCATCAGTGTCACTGATAGGTAGTTATCCAATATGGTGGATTGACTGAAGTTAGAATTGTTAACTACTGGATCCTAACTCAGTGGTCTTAGAGTCAAGTGCTCAGTGAGAAAAGTGATGCTCTCGGACTTGATCTGTATTAAGTTTATGGATAAACACCTCTATATAGTCGAAGACTGAGACCAAAGAGCTATTCAATGCTTTAAATGAGATCATGAACCTATCAATTTGCAGATCAGAACTGAAAACCTGGAAGCACTAGACGGCCGTTTTGTTCTAATATGGGACTTCTCAGCAGTGAGCATCCACGATCCCGCATGATGCAGTTGAACCCTAGATGCGCACTACTGAGAAGTTCAATACTAAAACTAAACGGCCGTTCAGTGCTTCCGGGTTTGATCAGTTCACGATTCCAACTAACAATCTTCACAACACTACTGTTTTCTGGTTTCTAACGGTCGCTTAACTAAGATCAATCCGTGATGTGAAAAACATTACGTCAATATTAGTCTTTACTTACCGAGGATAATCAGGAACTGAATTTTTGAATCTTGCCAGTGTTGCTATATAAGTATTATAAAACCATTTCACTCGAAAACAAAGATTCATATAATCTGAAGATTTGATTTTATTCATTCCACTTTTTAAGACAACTTTATCTTGTCCAGTTGACTTAGATGAATCACGCAATTTATTCACTTTTGATAAACTATCCAATATATTCTCTTCAGTATTATTGAAATAATATTTAGCTGTAATTGTATGCTGAGCTAATCCATTAGCTAAATCATCCGATAAACATTTCCATATCATCTCAGCTGACATATCGCCTAGATTGATTTCATGTGGAAATCTGATGGACAAAGTGAATAAAAACAAAATGAAATGACATAATTCCTAATATCATTAAAATAAATGGACTTAGAAATTACTTTTTTTCACCGTAAACAAATATATCACTGAAGATTAATCTCTCAACTTAGTCTTAAATCATTTTATAACACATCAACCTATCATATACTATAGACTGCATGTTTTTTTTAGCCAGAATCTGTAGTTGTTTATCTTTCTTTTTTTCAATAATTTATCATCGTGACCTTGTTATTCATCACTGCTCATTGGGTTTGATCTCACTGATATACTTCATGACTCTTGGATTTAAGCACTTGGAAATTGTGTAACACAGTGACATGATACATGAAGTAGGTCCCGAAAATATTGTCTTGAGTGACAATAGAAGCTACTCCATCCATTATACCATTTAGCCCAGAAGACATAACGCCAATAAAATTGTCAGATAATGATAAAAATATTGTAGTGGTCTTTCTGTAGGTTACTATTGCACTACTCTTTATAGTAGTGAACAGAGCTTCCTTAACTGAAAGAAGTGTTTGTCAGTTGTATTCCTAATTGAACCGTATTTCTTATGAAATATTATATCTGTTCATTTCGTTATTAACTATACTATTCCTCTCTTTTATTTTTCTTTACAATATTATTTCTCCATTTCTTTGGAGTATACTTTTTTACTCCCTTATTGTGTCAGGATTTCTACACTTAAGTAAAGACTTCTCTAGTCTAGGATAAGTTGTCCTCACATTTACCCAGGAAGATTCTTGTATATTTTCCTGTTTCCTTTTTCAAGTGAAAGTCAAAAACATCGTTAATACTGATAAAAAGTTACTGAGTTACTTATATGGAGATCTGTGAAATCTTAAGATGGTTTCAATCGAAAACTAACATAATACACCCAGATGTAGCTATCTTAAGTGTATTTTTTCAATGTTCCAATGAGAAACCATGACATTTAGAGTCAGTTAAGTTGACAGTGTTAAAGTATCTTGCCAATGACATTGACTAAATTCAAAAATATAGACCGATATATTCCAACTCCACAGATTAATCATACCGTGTAAGCTGAAAGATCTAAAGGTTGTGTATTCGATCCTATATCAGTGAGTATAACTCTCTCTCTCATTGTTATTCAACTCGAAATTAAAGGAGAAAAACTTCTGTAATCATTCAACTTGTAAACTGTTATTAAATAACACAATAGATCTACACTGTAGATCATTTTAAAATGTTATGCGGAATATTAATAAGTCAAATGTATCAACGCCCAATTTAATTTTCCTTTTAAAAAATTAACTCTTCAAATTTACTGATTTAATACTGGTGCATAATGTTTTCGATCATCTTCAAGAACTGAAACAACCAATGTGATAAGACGATGCCAGTAGGTCGGCGATCGCATACCATCCATTTGATCTAATTCCCCAATTAACGATTGTCCAGCTCCACTATTCATATTATCAGATACAAATTCAGTATTCCCAGATTCTGTATTGGTTGCCTTTATTTAATATAGAATAAAAGAAAATAATCTTGTGGACTAATGACTATAAGCAAATCTAGTAAAACTCGTCTATTATATGGTAGATGTGAAATCAAATTGAGAATGTCAGTTATATCATAAATTAGGCTCATTAAAAATACCTAACTATTGTGTTATCTGATACAAATCAGCACAACACACATAAAAAATCTTGGAAAAGCAGATGCTGTGTATTTGAACCGAACAAAAGTTACTCAGCGTTACTGTGTGAGAGACGGCATCACTATGCAATTCAGTTTGAACGGAGTAGATCTGATGCTCCAAATAGTTGATTTCTGACAACCTAACATATTTTTGATCGAGATTTCATGTCATTTGGACTAGTAGCCAGTTAACGTAGTGTCCTTGGTAGAATTGAGTGACACCTAATGACAAGACGAACACGAAATTGCTAACTACTAGAGATTACTATGAATCAGTGTAAATGATTTTTTATTTCTGGTAATCGGTCTCCAATAATCATATTAGCATCACACCTGTTGAACAAGTCAGTGGTAACCTAGATTCAGTTGTTCAGTGATGTTTGAAACCAAGTTTACTGGGTTCAAATTCCCATGTTAACATCAATACTAGTGTGCATGTACGTTCAGTTGATGAGTCTCAATATGAATGAAACGTACATTTTGGATGCTCCTACTAGACACAATCCATTTACTTTATGTCACTTTAGAGTTAATCAATAACTCTCCGGTTTTATTTGCAAGTTAGTATTTGACTTACTCAAAGATAGATAAATAACTAGATGATATTTCTAAAACCTTTTTCTCAAGAAAAAAGAATAATCAATAAACATTTACCATGGTAACAGTTAAACTCTATTTTACTTCCACATATCATATAAAAAGGAGAATTAGCAGTATATAGAGAACGAAGAAAAGGAACATTTTGTCGTGTACTGTAGTAAAAGGTATGATTATTATTAATAATAATATTATTATTATTATTGTTATTATTACTATCATTACAGTGAAACAAATTGTATTCAGTACTGACATGGACAATCGCCAGACCAAATAATTATTAGTTATAGTGTTGTTTTCTCATTGCTATTTTGTTCCAGGAGTATGTTAATTATAATTATAGTTATACCTGGATATCTTTCATCATAATAAAACATTTAAACTGAATGGTTCTTTCGTTGAAATGAATGTTTAATAAAGAGTGGGTGTTCAGAAACATCTCAGTGTGTTAGTCATTTGTAGTTTTTCGGGAGGAAGAGGGATTGTATGATGTACATAGTTTCCTGAGTGTTGGCATTAATCATAGGGAGAATTGATGTACACTTCACTGATTTGGTTTAGAAGTAATCGAATAGTTTCCTTTAGGTACGCTTTTACTAAGATGATTAAGAGGAATTAAACACAATTTAAAAGTATCCTAGTGATTAGTGTCCATCATTAAAACGATAAAGTGAATTCAGCCGTAAAATTACTCTACTTATTTGAACAACTTCACTATACCGCTAATAACGCACTTAGGATTCGACCGTACTACTGGTTTAAATTAAACTGTCTGAATATTATTTACAGTACTACAATTGACTTGTTCAGACCTGTTTTTTGATTGACGGCACCTAATATTCTTGCTTTGTTCCTTTGTATTATTTAAACTTAATTTGCTTATTTATTCTCTGAAGAAGTGGCTTCCACTGAATAACGAACCGTCAGAAAACCTAATTTCCCTACTCATTGGGATATTACAAACATTTTTTTTATTTAGATCAATCTACCTAATGCTCAATTTATTTGAAATCATCATGTCAAACCTTGATAATGATACCTACAAAGTACCATAATTGCTGAAAGTCAAAGTTAATTTTCATGACTATTATTGAATAACTTATCAACACCGGTTTAGTGCAGTACATATTTCTATATGCTATTGAATATTAACCAATTAATTAACTTAATTAATTAAATAAACTAACTAATTATTTGCTTACCTGTAAACTTTTCCCATATAAGTCATGTACATTTTCACAAAGGCACTGATAGGTTGCATGAATACAAGCTTCAATACATTCACGTAATATTTGACCTGTTCTTGGAGGTGAACTAAGCTCTTGAACCTATTTTCAAAGTGTAAAGGAGAAATAGAAAAAAATATGAAAGAAAAAAACAGGAGGATTTGGTAGAAATCAGTCTAAATGTGAAAAAAATGTCACCAGCAATTTTCTTTTTCTTGTTTTCTAACAACTCTTGGATCTTTTAGAATTGAAATTCTACTGAAATTTGTTGGATTTGTTACCTAATAAATTTCATCTCACAATACTTGTGTTAGGTTCAATACTTTCAGTGAATCGATTGGTTTGATTTGAATCAAACGTTTATCGAATACTAAGTATAATACTTATTAAACCATGTTCGATTATTGTATCTAGTCAACTTTTGTAACAAATCTGTCCAGTTGAAGAATATTGGCAGCTCCGGACGAGGATTTTCAAGTCGTGTCGTGTTTTCTGAGGTAAATAATTCGGTCATAAAGATTTTGTCAGCATTCTAAACAACGTCATAAGCACATTATCGTTGTGAATATTTTCTACCTCGACCTGATCTCTGATTTCCAAGTTGTTTATCTTTTTTTTATCGTTTAATAGATTGAGTCAATTGCTATATGTCTACTGATTGACGCATGTTCAGTATTGGGCTTCCAAACATTCCCTAGATTCCTATATTTTTCCTTTGTTAGATATTTTGATGTTTTTCTAGTCGAACTCATGTCCATAGTTATATACATGCATTGATATAAATGACTATATGTCATTCCAATCGATGTTCACTTGGACGTAGACTAATAAGATGGTCATTTTGCCCTGTGTGATGCTGCTCTTAATTACTGCATTTCATTTTGTGGACAGCGTTTGGTTTGTTTTGTCTACCATCTTATTCAGTTGACTTCAATAGTGGTGACTGGTAATATTTAGCAGACCAATAATATAACATTTCGTAAACGCACTATACTAACCTAAATGGATTGTTGCATCGAGATAAGGATGTATGAACTAAAACATCCATCTATATACCAAATATCTTGGTAAAATATGTCATTTATTTAAACGGATTGTAGATTTAAACATATTTAAAAGGAACGAATTAATTATATAATTATGCAATCTGTATTTATTCTTTGAGTAGCACAACTTAAGAGATGTACTTTGACAACTGGATTATGAGTGGATTAAGGGTAAAGAGATTAGACAATCTAAAATGTGAAATTAACAATGCGCTGGCTTGTACAAAAGCACGAAAGTTTGTTTAGGGTGGGAGCTGTCTTTTGAAATTCTTAATATATTAAAACATTAATGGCTGTTAACCCACAAGTGTACTCAATGAAGATAATGGTCACTAAAGATGAGCATTCAGTTCATCAATACGTCCGACAAAATTTGTATATCTTGATATCCAGTTCTGAATTGTACTACTTAGATTCTATCACTTTCATTGAAACGTTCTTCCATTTATAAAGTTGTAGAATGCTAAAACTTATATCGGTGGGTCCTCTCGTACCCCATTCTACTTAGTTACATGTTTTCCGTTCGAACATGTTGAAGTTATAATTATAGAAATGCTATTAAAGTATAGTTGACTGACTTGCTTTCAGAACACTTAGCGAACCAAACTATTCACAAAGTTATTTCATTCTCCCTTGAACAAAATGATTTTCAAATCAAGTTACTTGGCTCAAACCTCTACTGAATGTGTTGTGTGTGTGTGTGTGTGTGTTAGTGATTCAAACGGAAATTATGTTTGATGCAAACCTCTGATAAACGGACAACTATTATATTGATATTTATTACGAAAAAACACCATATCAAAAGAGATAAAAACTTTAGACTACATCAGTACTATAATTATTATTATTACTACTCTGAATAGATCTGTTGAAACGTGACTCACAGGATTGACAATAATACAGTTAAATTTTTTTAGAAAATTACTAACAATTTTGTCCACTAACTGACAAACCTACTTTGAGACGGAAAAATGTGATACTTGTAAGAAGATCTACGGTAGATTTCAAATCAATCAATCTTTCTGGTTGTGATGCAGGGAATACAGTCTAGAAAATGAATAAACGTAAAGAAAGAGAGGGGGAAAAATAAAGATAATAACTTAACCTGTGTAAATGTGGTAACTCTTTGGAACTATAACTTTATATTAACAAGTATTTCAAATACAATCACCATAATAAAAATGTGTACATGAAAAAAATTTGATGATTCTATTTGTGGTAGTACAACTAACAAAATATCTGTAAATGAACTACCACTAACAAATTCTTGAATATATATGTACTTGAAAGGCTAGTTAAGTGCAGGAGATTAGTATTCAGCCATCAAAGCACCCGGATAATAAGAAATAACTAGATTTCAATCTATTAGTAACGAAAACAAACTACTGCAAACTATAGATATGACTAATAGACAAGTTAACATTTACTCTACACCCAGATATATTCAAAAATCTATCGTAATCATAGGTATTTCATTCAAACACTTGGGTTGTAAGATATCATCCACCTACTATGATCGATTGTTAATTTATTAAACCGTACACAGCTTTCTGTTCACAAACAGAAATCTTTTTCATTGTTGTAATTATCAACACATTATAAGCTAGTATGGCAACTTTCCTATGATCTCATATTTATTCACTGTTTATGTTTGCTGATAGAAAATATTTGTTGAAAAGAGAACCCTCTTGCTGCTATGTAAATAATTATTTCTATTAACAATAATTATCATGTCGATTAATTTCGTATGTTTGATTACAATAAAGAATTCCGAGAGCTAAAAAAAAATGATTGGAGTTAGACACTAACGTTGTTGGATTCCGTGCTAAGGGTCTAGGGGTTAAGCGCTCGCATATGAGGCCTAAGGTCCTGAGTTTGATTCACAGATATGCAGTCATGGTTTTCCGCCGCCGATGCCTATCATACGAGGACGAAATGGTCACCCGATGCGTCCAGGTTTTCAATGGTAGTATAACTAAGACTAGGTAGTTATGTAAAGTCCATGAAAATTCTACAATCTGCCCCCAAACCCTACATTGATTAAAATATAAAAAATGTGCAACAAATTCCATTTAATATATGATGTATGTTTCATTAAGTGTGTTTCATTCTATCTATGAATCATCAGATGGATGTGCTTGAGTCTTGCTTAGTGTTGACTTTTCCATTAAGAATTGACCCCAGTAAAATTAAATTCCACTTAATTGATGAATATTGAAAATAAATTTGGAAAAGTATTTTTCAAAAGTGTCATGGATACTGCTTTACATTCTTATCCGCGAACTTTTTTGATTGGTTCTGTGCCTAGAAAGTTTTATTCATCTCACAAATGATATTTACCACATGAATTTTATCAAAATCCCCAATCGTCCCCTTCCCCTAAAAAGCAAATAAAATGGAACACACTCCACTTTACGATATTGGCACTGCTTAAAATCTTTGGTATTTCATTTCACAATAGATTATTCATGTTTCTAACCGAATCATGTGAGTGTATTATGAGCATGACATGCATAATTAATGAGTGATAAGAAGCTTTAAACATGGAAAATACATTGTGATGTTTGCATAGTTGAAAAATATATACCCTGTAAGTTTGAATAAATCTCTCATGGGTTGTTTATTACAAAAAAAACACACCAACATTTGATTCATTCTTGATGATATTCCAAAAAGAAGATCATCTTTACAGTAAACAAGTCGTTTTCTGACATTTATTATTATTATTTTCAGCTTAATCTAATTGAAGCTAATCCGTATAACACTAATCTATTCAATATTATATCAAGTGTCAGCTAAACTTGAATTGACAATTAGAATATACTGTATGTGTATGTGTCTATGTGCCAGAGCTGTTGTGTCTGAACGCTTTGCAAAACTGAGAAGAAAATTAGAAAAACAAAACAAATTATTTTCACACAGATTCATCTCATCATAATTTGATCCATCAAATCTTGGTTCAATTTCTAAAACAAAGTCTGTTGTTATTATCACCATTATTTATTGAACTACTACAGGATAGTTTAATCTTGTTCGACACTCGTTTATTCCACATGGATGTGCACACACACACACACACACATACACAATTCTTTAAACAACTAACCAACATTCAACTTGGATACATTTCTTCAAAAAACAAAAAAAACTTATTCCTGGATTTTTATTCTGTTTTCATCTTATTATTTGTTTTTTATCCTTTCATTTCCTTTCGAAAACAACAACACGGATACATTATTGATGAGTTGACTATAGGAAAAAAAGTGGATAGGTTTTACAAATTTTTCTATATTTATTTGTATGTATATTCGTTTACATCTTCGTAATCGTGTCTTAACAAACACATCCGTTGTTCATGTTATCCACTAGTTTAAGTTAGTAATGACAATCTGTTTTGTAAAAGTGCTGTCGTGTATGCTACTTATATTGACAGACACAAGTAGTATGTAATATCATTTGGAAGTGGAAACCCTGATAGTAGAAGGTTAAGAAGATCGATTTGAACAAAATAGAAGGTAAAATAGGAAGAAATTATCAAGTGGAATAATCATGTGGAATGTGAAGGACAAAATGATGGGAACTTGTAATGTATAGTTCTCATATTTTACCAAGATATTCTGTAATTTCGTATTTATATAGACTTGGTCGTCCCCACCTATGTTTTTATTCACTACAGTGCTAATAAACTAATTAATGTTTTACTGATAAAGAGAAGAAAAATGAAAAAAAGTACAATTTGTTAAAATTATAGAAAGTAATGGTAGAATGATTTAAAACTATCAGAATTTTTGATGTACCGGTGTAAAAGAAAATCTTGAAAAACAAATTGTATGGATTGTATCTAGCAATGAAATTCACGATGAATATTACGTCTTATTTGGAACTAGTCAGACAGTTGGATTTGCATGCCAGTTTTGATGTTTGCCGTAAGATTCGAACCCAATATCTTTCATTTCAAACATCAACGCATTTCCCTAATGAGTTTTAATATGAAGATCAAAGTTAGGATGTAGGTAAATCCCAAATCGGACAAAATGTTCATACTGTATTCCACGGCTGATCACAATCCATCTATTCTGAATACACATGATAATGTCGAAACAATCAGTACATAATTCACATATACACTAATAAAGACTAATGAAGATGCAGTCCTGAATACTAACAATGGAACAATCCAAACTATTATTAATAATGGTTATTAACAATCATCCAAATTACATTTTCATGAGATGCTCGTGAACAACCATGTTAGATCAAAAAATAAAAATAGAATAATTTACGATGGATTCAACTTATCAAAGTAAAGTACAAATCAGTAGTCAAATATCGATTGTGTAAGTAACATTCAGCTGATAGGTAGATTAATTATGACTTAAGTAAATTTAACTAGTTGGAGTTATTAATGTCATAATGAACTGTAAGCTGTCATCAACCAAAGAAACTGAGACCAAAAACATTTCGATTCAATTTTAATCGCTCAAAGAATATCAACAGATGATTTAATCAATCAGAAGTACATTGAATAACTAGACATCATAAACCATTATTGACTAAAAAGATTAACCTTCTTCAAGGTTTACCTCAAAACAGTAGCATAAATAATCATTCAATAAATATTATGATCGAATAACTGATTGATATAACACTGGATAAAGTAAAAATGCATCACAAATTATACGAGTTAAATTGTTTCTGATATTATAAGAAATGATAGATGGTGGCTAGCAGTTGAATCCACGACGCGCGTTTCATCCTAGTTGAGGCTCGTCAGTTGGATACAGCTGCATCTCAGAGTTGATGTTCACTCCGGCACTCGAACCCAGTACCGTTCGCCTGAAACGTCACCACGTTATCGACTTAGCGAACAAGTCCTGATAAGAGATACATCAAGCTGACAATTCCCAAATGGGACGAAACGCGTGCCCTGGATTCCACTGTTGAACACCATCCATCTTTGCTTGAGATACTTGTGACTTAAGGCAATACTAAGGCATCAATGAGAAGATTCAAATAAACAATACAAAGTGAATCGCATCTGATATTCTTGTGACTTGAAAGTTGAAAATCACTGATCTTCACTGGGACAACTAAGATATAAATTTACATAGATTGATAAATTAGTAACTCAGTTCACTAATGAGGCTATAAAATGTTATGGAATGAGGTTGTTAGGATATTGGTTACTTTTGAGTAACCAACATCTAACACAATGGGCAGTGTAGTCTGATATAAAAGTGACTTGGGAAAAAGACAGAGGTCATTTCACGAAATCACAACCTTTTGATCTGAGCCACGTCATGAATTTTCGGTTTCTAGGTTAGAGCCCACTGAATGGTTATAATCATTTGGTGAGAACACTTAGAAATATGGAAACAATTCAGTCATATTCACTCAACTGTAATTATTTTCTGTCTTCCTTTACACCTTTTATCGAATAGCATTCATGACTTTCCAATAATCGATCACATCTATTCCTTCAAGAAGGTATTATTTCATCAATAGGTTTCTTGTATAATACCGGCCATCTTGTTGAATTCCTCTCGTTCAGCTAATGTGAAGTGCAACAACGTGGAGTGATGCATGTAAACATCAGATTCGACGTTGATAATGATCAGTGACAGAGTAACTTAATTATGGAATTATCAACAGAAGAAAAACTGTTTAAATCCTATGTGGATTAGGGATAATAACATGCTTTCTGAATTACAGTCTCACATCGTCTACATGGAATCGATGCGATCTTACAACCAGATAGTTTTGGTAAGAAATCCATGGTTCTGTAAAAGTAAGCTGTCACTAAAATTGCTGCGTGAGTTATAATGTCAAACAAGTCAGAAACCATCATAAACGTTTTATTAAATTATAATGATTAGAAGTCATTTGAAGGAAGCCGTAGGCCTAGGTTTCATGTCATGAAGGTCAGTCAATGTCTAAATGACTCATTGATAAAATCGTAGCCTATAAAGACGGTTGCTAACAGTTTGAATCTACCAGCAAGCATCAGTTCCTCAAGATTCCGAATGAACTTTACTGAACAGTCTCAACTAGAAAAAGCAGGGTTTTCTGTCGATTACCTCGAATCACTTAATATCTGAATATAGTGCATGTGACGTTAAACGTTTTAAACTATCAGGCATATCACAACTTCATCGATAGAATTCGATCAATGCTAAAAGACAAGACAAACATGACATCAGGCACTACTCAATAACCAAACAGATTATTCTTTCATGTTGCTGACTTCCTTCTTACAATGCTTTTTTTCTCTCCATGAAATCAAAGCGTAAGCAATACTTCAATGATCATTATGAAAATAATTATCTTTTGTTACTGATACAAAAATAAACTATATGAATATATGTATATGAGTATGCCTATGAATGGAGTTAATTCATTTATGTTCCATATATTGTACAAACATATTTGCATCATGAAGTACTAATCTACTTGATAACTTACTTGTCATTGTATCGTATTATCCAATTAATCTTAATAAACATATATAGTATTATATGGGTGAATTTAATTGAATAATTAATTACATCATCATTATCATTGAAGTTAATTTCAAAATGCAATCGATTACTTAATATGTAATGAGCTAAACTGTAATTATATCTTATCTGATTAATGTTATGTTGATACCAATACTACTGACGACATTATTATTACTATTATTATTATTATTACCAGTTAAACTTACCTTTGTGGCAAAACTCTTACACATGAATCGTCGTTATATATATATATATATATATATATATATATATATATATATATATATATATATATATATATATATATTAGAATGGGTTTTGTGGAGATTTTTAGAAATTTCACTGATTGAAATCATGAGTAGATTGAAGCTGGACCACCATGGAAAACTTGGAAGCACTGAACAGCCGTTCCGTCCTGGTATGGGACTGTTTTGAGGTCTGTTGTAAGATAGGAACTCACTGGAGACAATGGTGTACGGTGACGCAACTTCGTGGATTGGTTGAAGTTAGACACTAACACTGCTGGATGCCGGCTCAATGGTCTAGTTGGTTAAGCGCCTGGCGCGAGGCCGGTAGGTCCTGGGTTTGAAACTCGCGGGGTGCAGGATCGTGGGTGCGCACTGCTGAGGAGTCCCATACTAGGGCGAAACAGCTGTCCAGTGCTTCAAGGTTTTCCATGGTAGTCTAGCTTCAATTGACTCATGACTTCAACCAGTGAAATATATACAAGTGTCCATATAGATAACAAGAAGTGAACAGAATTATATCCACAAACACTTACACGATATTTTGATAAATCGATTCTTATGGCGATATATAAATTGTCCAGTAATTTAATGAATTTCTCTCGCTAGTAAAAAAAATTGTTTTTTTTTCATAATTTACATAAAGAAAAAGAAAAAAAGAGAGAACATACAGAACAATATAAACAATAATTAAAGATATGAAATAAATAAGAGTAAATGAAAAATTGTCAATGATACATGCACAACATTTGTACTTTAGAATCAAGCAAGAAAAATAAAAGTCAGTCAGTCAGTCAGTCAGTAACAACGTAGAACTTCGTACATACGTACATCAGTTCGAGTTGCCACACCACATTAGCACAGAGATGCAGTTGTCGATTCAAATCCCGTAGTGGTAGAGGTAATAAGAGTATAAGTAGCAATCGGGAAGATTAGGGTTTGGAGATGTTATTTAAAGAGTATAATCCAGTGAAATAAATTTGGAAAGAGGAAAAAAGGAACATAAAAAATTCAGAAGATTAGAATTTGGGAGAACACAAAAGGTGGATGCACCTGCGCCATTGCAAACGATTTTGAGCCATGTCATTCAGGGTCTCTAACCATCGGTTGCTATCATCTCGCGGTCCCCAACCAGGTAGTCTACACCTACCAACATGACTCAGTTCACTTGTCAGTGACTTCATGGACTTGTGCCATGTTTTGGTTTGGCCGCCCCTAGCTTTCTTCCAACCTACTCCTATACCACTGAACATAGCACGTCGAGGCAGTCGGTCGTTGGGCATACGTAACACGTGTCCCAGCCATCTCAACTGATGAAGTTTCACTACTTCATCGATTGATTTGCCATCCTTACCTAGTACCCGTTTCTCAACAACTGTGTTACTTACTCGATGGTCCCATGATATACGAGCACATTCTCACCACTGATCAACATATGGAACTCAAAACAACTGTCAACCAATATCAAAGTCACCATCTTCAATATAAACTTCAGGACAGCTTTATTCTACAAAGCTGAAACTTCAAGAACTACAACAACCACCATCAAAAATCTACAAGTATTTATAAACAGTTTTCTACGTAAGGTACCTTATATCAGTTGACAGTATATCATCAGCAACAGCCTACTATGAAATAGGACAAACCAGCTTCAAGTTGAAGAGGAAATTAGAAAAAGACCTTGGAAGTGGATAGAACATACATTACAGAAATCATCAAACTGCATCACGAGGCAAGCCCTAACTTTGAATCCTGAAAGGAAACAAGTGAAGAGGAAGGTCAAGGAAGAAACTACGTCGGGAATTGGAAGCAGAAATGAAAAGAATGAACAGCGACTGGAAAGAACTGGGAGGAATTGTCAGGACAGAGTTGGATGGATAGTGTTGGTGGGTGTCCTATACTTCTCCACTAGGGGTAACAGGCGTAAGTAAAAAGCTAGTAAGTTTAAACCTCTACTGTGAGCTTATATGAAAACCTCTATCTAATAATAAAAAAATCTAATAAATAATAGATAATATGTAGTAAATAACAAATTAACTTACTCCAAAATTACTTGCACTAAATCGTTCACTAGCTGTCTGACTATTTGATGATGTTGTATGGGCATAAAATGCATTTATATTAGCCAAAAGTACAGATAACTGAGCTGGTACACCAGGGCAATTATATTTCGCAGTTAAGCATGCAAAATGCCTGAAAATATTGATAAATAATTCAAGCATTTATTTAAACCAAATAAATAATGAACAATAAATTGTGTCAAGTAACATTAACTATGGAAAATCTAATAATAGTCACCTGAAATTTTCAAGAAAACAGTAATGTGAAACCACAGATTTGATGGAAATACTTAATGGCTTACAACCATTTGAATAAAATTCAGGTGTGGTGTGGGTTGCTTATCTCCACGCAAGTAGTATATAACGGTGATCAGGCATAGAATGTATCTTAGCAGAAGGTCGATGAGAAAAGAATGTGAACGGAACGCAACTGGTATGAAAAGGAATCGACAATGAAATCTGAGACAATCGACTGATATTTACAAAGCAACGGTCAAATTTGAGACGATGGATTGATATTTTACAAATTATCGATTTACTATATGGTTTTCAGATTTTATTGAGATGCTCTGTAATTTCTTGTCAATTGTGTTCGATTGTCTCCATTCGTCTTCTTGTTCACTACACAGGTATCCTTAGAAGCAATATGAAATGTTAGAATTAATATTTTGTGTAAAATATGTGTGGTTTATTTGATTTTATAAGTTTTTCTATAGAGAACTTTCGAATGTAGAACAATAACATTAAACAACTTTTCAGTATAACAACTGGTGTTGGATTTTAACCCCAACTAAAGTGAAGTAATATCCTATCAGAAACAGTGCGAAAACATTTTTGGATTAACTAGAAGAGATGACAAACCATAGGAGGATTCAACAGTTTTTCCAAGCAACAACATTTAACTATTTTTATTTATTTTATTAATTTAGACCTAGAATTGTTGAGGTCCGGTCGATGACAGCCTATGTGATTCTCTCATGAACTTATATAGGGAATCAGAATAAATTTATTTACTTGTTTATTCGTTTAGTTAAACACATACATTGATATTAAGAGTCACTAGAATATATATGCGCCGCACAAAAGTAACATGAGATTATTAAGAGATAGAGAAAGGAAGGTGAGTATAGTGAAAAAGGACAAGAATGAATAAAAACAAGTGAGTGAGAGTTTCAATAATAATATTACAATAAATCGAACATTACATCAGGACCGCCACTAGCTATCCAACAACGTCTCAAGCCACCTAGTTACACTATCTCTAGGACGCCAACCAAATAGCTGCTAAGGTCCGACAGATGCCATTCTTGTTCAGGTTTCTTTCATACAACGGTACCATGTTATAAACTGACCACCTCTCTGCTTTTTCCAATCAGTCCTAGAGTCGGAAAATAACTCATGAATTGTAAGACGCTGGGACGGAATCCATAGGACATATCCAGGTCACTAAGGTCAGTGTTGCAAGATCGTCACAGACACTAAATTATCATCACTGTGTTTGAACACGCGTTGCTAAACCTCCAAAATACTAATATGGTGTCACCACTGAATATCAACAATCTTTCGAACTTAACTCAGTCGAATATATATGAAGGTAGAAGATTCTGGATCATAGGCGTCTTCAAAGTATTACTCGCGTTTCTTGGAATGACTGAGTGGAAAATGTTGAAGTTAGGTAAAGCGTGATTCCTGAAGGTGACAAACTAGTTGACGATGTGGAGAATTTTCCTCGGCCAAAGTTGTTGAGACATGTTACGTATGCTTAACCACCGCCTACCTCGATGAGCTACGCCTGCTAGTACAGAAGTAGGTTGGGAGAAATATTTAGGTGACCAAGCCAAAACGTGACATCAACCCATAAAGTCACTGAGAATTGTTCTGAGTCATTTAGATAGGTGCAAACTACATGGTTGAGGCCTGCCGATAACCAGTATCAGTGGTTGGAGACTTTGACTGATATGGCTCACAATTGTTCAGAGAGGAAAGAATTATTCACTCACTATCTTATTGTCAACCTTGAATTCGAGTATTCTTTCATAAATACCTTCATACATACCTTTCCTCTTCGTCCTGTGAAATACATTTGCAAAGTTCAGTGTCATTTTTATCTACGGAACTATATTATTACGATCTCTTTTGTTATTGTCACGTTGTCATGCTAATTGAGTATGACAATTTGGGTCACGTACATGCATTCATCGTTTTTAAAAAAAATATTTTTCAATGTTCTATCAGTTTAGTAGTCTGTTGTTGACTGACAGTAATAATTGACACATCATCATGAGAATTATATTTTTCGGTATCATTTAATGGAAATTCTCAAGACTTATTTTTTTACAAACAAAATCATGATTCAGTGTTTTCTTTCTAATAAAGAAAAATAGTTGAAATCACGAGTCAATTGAAGCCAGACCACCACCCGGAAGCACTGGACGGCCGTTTCATTCCAGTATGGGACTCCTCAGCCGTGCGTATCCACGACTCCACTTCCAGCGGGATCCAAACATAGGACACATCGGCTCCGCGTGTGAGCGCTTAACCACTAGATCACTGAGCCGGCATCCAACGATGTTAATGTTTAACTTCAACTGTTGAAATTACTAAAATCTCTACAAACCCCTTCTGAAAAAATGTAGTTAAAATTACTTGAAGAGGGAGAAAGTGAGAGGGTGGGAGAGAGAGCGAGAGCGAGGAAAGAAAGAGCGAATGAAAGAAAACAAAGAAACGGAAGAGAACAAACAACCTTTTTAAATTAAATCAAACGACCTTTTTGATTCATTCCAATTTTTCGGAAATTATTTATCAAAGTAAATTCAAGACAAAATCTGTCATAGTGCATATTACAAAATTAATATAATTCCAATTGAGAAAAAAAATTGTTTATCATTCGTGACAGTGATAAGGAGACTAAATTGTTGAAATAAGTATGTAACGATGATCAACCGAATGATTGATTGATTAATGAAAGCAAACGTAATGTTGAAAGATTCATTGGATTAGTTTATTATATAGAACTTGGAAAACCGATTGAATTAAAATTAATGGAAAAGAATAACATAGAATGTTAGTGAAATAGTATGCATACAAACTAAACAATGGTATTCAAAATGTCAGTGATCTTCATTATAAAATTATTAATATATAGTTGTGTATAATCGTTGAAGTCTTTACATTATTTATATAAGCCAGTCAGCTACAACGTAGAACCAGGTACATAAATGCATAGTTTCAAGTTGCCAAACCTCATTAGCACAGCAAGATGAACACCGGATTCATAGAAGTAGTTAATTCAATAGCGGTGATATATAAAAGAAAGATTGCATATAAGGATATAGTACAGGAAGAAATATTTAGTACGTAGAAAGAAAGATATAAAGCGATTTTAATCTCATAGTTCAGGGGAAGACAGAGTGTATACACTTACACCATTTCATAAAATAACTTCAGATAAAAAAACGTTTAGATCATAAATCTCAGTTTTTGATGCTAGACGGTTGGGTGCAATTGATGTAAATCTCTGAATCTAGGATATGATGATTGTTGGTACTTGTGAGCAAGGCTTGTGCATAGTTTTGAAAAGACTAATGCTTCCTATTGAATATGAACTTATATCAATCAGTGTTGTTATACTTAGAAGTATTTACAACCGAGTGATTTAGACTTCGCCTAACTATATTCATAAACAAAACAGTATAATCCAAAGCTTCATGAAAAGTGGCTCCAGATATCTAAGACCAAAACATAATGTGTTTAATGTCTAGCCACTTACACTAGTAATTAAATTTTGACTACTGAAAGAAATCGATCAGCAACAAGGATTTGAAATAAATGACAATAATTATTATTGAATGATCAAAAAATGCAACCAGCTTTCTATGTAGCTAGGTGGTGATGTTTAAAGACTAGTTTGATTTGAAGATGATTTTTGTCACAAACCAAAAGTCAGGTAACTATGTACAATTGTTGAGATATATTCTGACACTTAATAACAATAGTCGACCACGTTCATTGTATACTGGAGCAAACCTTCAAGCCATCGATCTCTCCATGAATAAGACACACTTATTTGCTTGAACTGGAATTAAATAACTCAAGATATAGCACAAAGGTTATTCTTTGTCACATGAAATAGTCGTCTTACTATCAACACGATTGAATCCCACTAGAAACAATTTCACGCAATAATCTCAACATCCAATCAATAAACTAGCTGTTCATATATGAACACTATATACTTATACTCTTTGGCTTTAGGCCTGAGTAAACATAAAGACAATACTAGTGATGGTGATAATAATAATAATGGAAATAATATTCTATATGAGGCCAAAATATCTAGATTAAAAGTAAACATATTAGAATCAAACACTTAATTGAAAGAAATGTTTATGAATTTGTCGACACTTCATTAATTCCTGTCCAATAATTAGTTTATAGTAAAAACAATGTGGACATTAATAATAATAATAATAATAATAATAATAATAATAATAATAATAATAATAATAATGGTAAAATAAGACAAGCTTACGTCATTGCTTGAAATATTGGTTCAATACCATAACGTATAGCAAATTCATCAACGATTTCCTGTCCTGTTGGATTGAAATACACTCGCCATGCTTCATTACCCTACGACGATAAGGAAATGTGTGTGTAAGGAAAGGGCGGGGAGGAGAGGACACTTGAGATTAGTATGGAACAGAACTATTACTAATACTACTACTACTATCCTAAAAAAAATCGAATAAATGCAGTTCCGTTGTTTACACTCTTAAAACATTTTAGTTCCCTTCTATCATTTACTAATCCATTGAGTTTTTAAAAATTTAAGAGTTTATGCGGCGTATAGTCTTAATATTAACTTATTTAAAAGCTATTTTCCAAACAATCATGTTGAAGGCTATTTATTGAATGTTAGTTTGCAAATGATTTTTGTCTGCCTATTTAGATAATGTGTTCATCAGAGTATTATGTCATTCATAGGTATCAATGCCAAGATTGAACGTGATGGTTCCGAATAAATTAAGCACTGGGTAGAAAGTTAATGGTTAAATAGTTCCTACCTAAACTTGTAACTTTGCCTGTAGCTCTTCGAGAGTTACTGCCGGTCCCAAACCCAGATAAAGGAAGAGGGTTGAGCATGGGGTCGGCAACCTCATCTCGTAGAAAAAAATCTTGCTAAATAAACGCCAACCAGATTAAACAAATTAAACTATTTAAACTCTGTTCTTCGAATTGAAGGATCCAGGATCATCAAAGCATCATTCAAAACGAAGAAGGAGGGAATTACAGTGAATGTTATCTAATATTATGCACCCACCGATGATAGCAACGACGACAATAAAGATCAGTTCCATGAGAAGCTTCAATCGGTCATAGCGAAGTGCCGAAGAAAAGATCTCAACATCTTGATGAGAGACCTAAGCGCTAAAGTCTGAATAGACAACATCAGATATGAAGATATCATGGGACGACGTGGACCGGGAGAGAAAAACGAGAATGGCGAGAGATTTGTGAACCTATGTGCATTCAACAAATTGGTTATAGGCGGCACAAACGTATACACAAAACTACATGGGTCTCACCGGATCACACCATATAGATCATATTTGTATTAATAAAAAATTCAGAAGATACATGAGGGTTATGAGAACCAGGAGAGGAGATCACGTTACTTTATATCACCACTCGGTTGTGGCCGAGATGAAATCGAAGCTAAAAAATCACTGGACAACTGGGGGAATAGCATCATAAAGATTCAATACAGCTTTCCTTTGAGATACTAACCAACACAATGAATTCAAAATAATTCTCAACAACAGCTTCCAAGCCTTTAAGGATCTGCTGAAAGAACAAGAAACTACTATGGAATACAACTGGAAATGGATCATAGAAGTATTAATTTCATTGTGTTAATAAATGCTGGGTCGCAAGAAGGTTCATCATAAGGAATGAATCTCCATAGAAACGCTGGAGAAGATTCAAGAAAGGAAGAACAAAAAGACAGCAATTAACAACAGCCGAACAAGAGCCGAGAAAGTCACGGCAGAAGCTAAATACACTGAAATAAACAAGCGAGTGAAGAAAAAAATTAGAGCTGACGAGCAGAAATACGTAGAAGAGACAGTAACAACAGTGGAAAAAGTTTCAAGAGAAGAAAATATAAGACAGCTTAGGATACTACGAAGAAACTGACGGGAAAATGTAGTAAACCAGAGAGCCGGTCAAGGACAAGGAAAGCAAGTCAATCACTGAGATCCAAGAACAGAGAAATAGATGGGTAGAATACTTCGAGGAACTGCTGAATAGACCAGCTCCATCAAGTCCAATGGAAATCAAAGCAGCACACACAGACCTTCCTATAGATGTCACTCCACAAACTATCAAAGAAATAAGTATGATCATCAGACAAATCATCAATAGGAAAGCAGCAGGACCTGACAATATACCAACTGAAGCACTAAACTCAGACATGAAAGTAACTACAAGTATGATTCACCTTCTATTCAGGAAGATTTGGGGGGAGAAAAAAGTGCCACCGACAGACCGGAAAGAAGGAATCTCATCAAGATACCAAAGTAAGGAGATCTGAACAAATGCGAGAACTACAGAGGAATCACACTACTATCCGTACTAGGAAACGTTTTCAAAGTAGTGTTGCTGAACCGAATGAAAGACTCAGTAGACGTCCAACTTCGAGATCAACAGGCTGGATTCCTTAAGAAGCGGTCGTGCACAGGCCAAATCACGACACTACAGATCATTGTTAAACAATTGGTTGAGTGGAACTCGTTACTATACATCAACTCCATTGACAATGAAAAGTCGTTTGACAGTGTGGATAGAAGAACATTATGGAAACTTCTTCGACAATGGTGAGCCTGGGAAACTCCTCAACATCATCAGGAATTGATACGATGGACGACAGTGCAAAGTCGCACATAGAGGACACCTGACAGACCCATCCCAAGTAAGGACTAGAGTCAGATAAGGCTGCCTACACTCTCTCTCCTGGTGGTCAAATTGATTATGAAGATCTCTACATCTGAGTGGGAGCACGGAATACAATGGACAGCTCGGAATTAATTGGACGATTTGAACTTTACAGATGACCTAGCCCTCCTATCCTAAAGACACGAAGAAATGCAGATAAGGACAGCCAGGGCAGTAGCGATCTATGCATCAGCAGGCCTCAACGTACACAAGGGAGAAAACCGAGGTCCTCAAATACAACATGGAGAACACCAGTCCAACCACACTTGATGGCGAAACTCCGGAAGATGTAGAATCATTCACGTACCTGGGAAGCATCATCGATGAACAAGGAGGATGTGATACAGGCGTAAAGGTGAGGAATGGCTAAGCAAAGCAGCATTCCTACAGTTGAAGAACGTATGGAACTCAAAATAACTTTCAACCAATATCAAAGTAAGAATCTTCAATACGAATGTCAAGGCAGTTCTACTGTACGGAGCGGAAACTTGCAGAACTACAACAACCATCGTAAAGAAGGTACAAGTACTTGTAAATAGCTGTCTACGCAAGATACTCAACATCCATTGGCCGGATACCATCAGCAACAGCCTACTATGGGAGAGGACAAACCAGTTTCGAGCTGAAGAGGAAATTAGGAAAAGACGATGGAAATGCATAGGACATAAATTACAGAAATCACCAAACCGCATCACGAGGCAAGCCCCAAATTGGAATCCTGAATGGAAGAGGAAAAGAGGAAGGCGAAAGAACACAATAGATCGGGAAATAGAAGCAGAAATGAAGAGAATGAATAAAGATTGGAAAGAACTGGGAAGGACTGCCAGGAAAGAGTTGGATGGATAGTGTTGGTGAGCGTGTAAGTAAGTAAGCCAAACTTGTGTTAATTTTATTTTAGTTACTTACTTACTCTGAAGCAGTGGCTTTCATTAAGTTACGAAATATCAGAAATACGATTTTATACTCATTGAGATATAACAACAAAATATATATTTACTATTATTATGTCAGTTAGATATACTTAGTAATAATAATTTTTGATTAGAATTTTGACATTTGGCTTACAGTAAAATTTAGGACACATGTTTCGTATCATTTCTGTTTTCAGTCTTTAATAACGAAACAAAAACTCAAACTTTCAAGTTATCATAGACATTTTCTCACAGCCCATTCGATAGTTTTTCTCTTTCAATACTGTATAAGATAGTATCAGAAAGAACAGGACAACAATTTTCCATCAGTAGATTAATAACTTGTTAATATATGTTACTGATAATAAAGTTAGTAGTAAAGAAGAAATAGATAATGCACATATCGTGGGCGTGAAGCCGATGAAACGGATATGAATTACAGTAACATGATAGATGATTATGCAACTAGATGAAAATAGGCAGCCTTTTTCATCGATGATCCATCCAGGCTATATTTATCAATTATTACAAAGTGGAAACAACAATGATGGAAACGAAGAAGTGATAGTTAAATCACAGTATTGACTAAAATAGAATTTTAAATAGAGCAAGAACAAAGATTGGTGCAGAATAATATGAATTCATTTTTTAGTTCGTTAGGTTCTCATCAGCTGCTTACAACATAAATTATTTGAAATTCAACATTATTACAGATATTGACATATTTATATATAAGAGTGTGATTAAGGATGAATACATGTGTATGATGATGTAGCAAAGATTCAGATAGAGTTAATGAGGTCATTAAATTTTGTCTGGAAAAAATAGAGTTTGAGAGGGAAAGTTCCAGAACATTGAAATAGTGATTAGAACTCATGAAAATAGATTAATGGTAATAAAGAAAATATGAATTGAAATCAATCAGTTATGTATGATGTAATTTATACTTTAGAAAGAGTTGCAATAATGACGCAATAAATAAATAAATAAATAGGAGCAAATGAATAGAAAGGGTGGGGGTTATTGTTACCAGGGTAAGGAAAGATTTATTACTATCTCTTTTTGTATACATAGATCTGGTTTTAAACGTTTGATTGCTAACGCTTCAGCGAATTTCAAAAGGTTCGAGTTTGATTGTTTGTTAATCATCTTGTAGGACTTCAGTATATCAACTTATTCGAATCAAACATTTTATGAGCTCATTAACTCTATCTGAATATTCGCTACATCATCATACACATGTATTCATCCTTAATCACACTCTTATGTATAAATATGTCAATATCTGTAATAATGTTGGATTTCAAATAATTTAGGTTGTAAGCAGCTGATGAGAACCTAACGAAATAAAATGAATTCATACTATTCTGCACCAATCTTTGTTCTTGCTTTATTTAAGATAATAAAGGGAACTATGTGTATAAAATATAATTGTAGCACGCTGGTTTCACTTTATTTAAAACTCGTCGGTTAGATGAGTCTGGTACATCCCGGTGTTGATTTTCACACCGAGACTCAAACCTCTCTGTTAAAACCTCCAACGTATTATTCACTGAGCTATCGACTTCAAATAACCACTAGCTTGTGCAGTGAGTGCATTTATCCCAATACACACGGATACATTGAATTCCTTAACGTGAACAATGGGTAAATACCAACCTTTGCAAATTAAAATAAATAATAAATGGTTTTGTAATAACATGTAATCGTTTTTTTCACCTTTCTTTTTATCTATCAAGCACTAATTAACAAATGGAAAATAATCAGACTTTACTGAAAATTGATGAATAATAAAAGTATAAACTATTGGATATCAACTCAATGCCCAAAATAGGTACTTTTTAAAACTTTATGTTAGACCAACAGGACGCAAGGTGAATTCCTTATGAGATAGTGAGTTTGAATTAATGAAAAATTACAAATAGAAATGAAACAGTTATCTAGTGAACTTTGTCCGGTAGTATATATCTTAACTACAAATGTCATTTAAAAGTTTTCTGGTTATGAAATAAGTACCAAGAAAATGTTGTGAACAAGAAGACGAGTGGAGACAATCGAATACAATTTGACAAGAAATTACAGAGGATCTCAATAAAATCTGAGAACCATATAGTAAATCGTTAATTTGTAAAATATTAATCCATCGTCTCAAAGTTGACTGTTCCTTTGTAAATATCAGTTCATTGTCTCAGATTTCATTGCAGATTCCTTTTCATACCAATTGCGTTCCGTTCACATTCTTTCCTTATCGATCTTCTGCTAAGTTACATTCTATGCCTGACCACCGTTATATACTACTTATGTGAATATAAGTAACCCACACCACAAAAAACACATAAAACTACCGTTCTATTCATCAACAATTAATAACATATCCGTCAAAATTAATCGATGAAAAGTTGAGATGAGTTACACTGTGTTAAACTTATTAATTAATAAAATATAATTCACTAACACTTACATTATTTTGTGCCTGAGTGATATATGTTTGATCCGGTAAAAAAACTGGTTCATTTTTTTGACATAAATAACAAAATATACTCTGAAATGGAAAAAAAATACAACGAACATGTGTTGAAGTTGTTACTTTGATATCTATTGGTTTAGTCTACAAACTTTCATTGTCTCTCTAGACAACAGTATCATCGGTTTATATTTGAAAAAGAAGCAAATTATTAGGATTTCTCTACTATAATTGATTAACAACTTGGTCTATTGATCTGAAATTTGATTGATTAATGTCTGTAACTGTGTGGCATTTGTTTTTGTGTTTACTTTGACTAGATCACTGTTTTAGAGTCATCCACTCTATTTTGGTATTGATTCATATGGCAGGTCAGTTTAGATATATCTTTCGACTGACGCGTGACCGAAGTGCCGGGTTTCTGAAGATTTACTGGTCCACTATGTGCACCCTTTACACAATATTTCTACGTACACATACGTGACTACAAATACTTCTTGTTGAACGTTTGACTGATCATATTATCAAGAAAGGCAGTCAAAGCTTCATGATTAAACTATTTGTTCCAGAGAACACAATGTTTTTTATATTGGATAATTGTAGATGGTCAACAAGTAGACTATACTTGAGGAGATTAATTTATAATTGATATTCGTCATTGATTGCTAATCATAGTTGAAGTGCTATCAATGACCGAAGAGCGCCGGACAGCTGTTTCATCAGCGAGGTTGTGTATGCGCACTGTTGAGGAGTGCCATACTAGGACAGGTTTTCAATCGCGGCTTAACCTAGATCGATCCATACGCTCAATAAAGGCACTTTCGTCGTTAAAGGTACTGGGATATGAGATAGAAATATCTCTGCTTGAGATTTTTACTCACTGTCACATAACTGGAACAATTTCATTCGATAGTCTGCTCAGTTCTCGGACAAATCAACACTTCATTTAGACAAATACGGTCTATTATTGTTAATACTTACACTGCATAATCTAGTATTATAACGATAGTATATTACATCATCACATTTATTCATTGTACATAAGTCCTCACAAAATTCATAGTTTCAAAAAATTCATATATACTTATATATACGATTGTACCTGATTGATAATAAAGAGATCCTATCACTAAAATTCGTGTTATTGTTTAAATAAGGATTGTCTATTCATATTCAAGAAAAATAAACATTCAGTTACTGTCCCATAACTTGATTTTATCCAAATATAAGTAACCAACTAGGCTAGTTGTCACCAATCACCTCAGCTTTGATTAATTTATGATTCAATTAATATCTATTGTTAATACGTTTTGTGACAATGATAAATCCAATTTTTCTGGTCATCTAGACTACATTTTGACATCATTAGATTTATCAAACTTGCCGTCAACCTTTCATTCATATGAGAACAGTTATCAATCACCTATAAATATGTCAATGAGCATTTATCGATTGTTTTCACCATAAACATTAACAAAACTCATAATTCCCATCATATCATTCAATAGTTCATATGAGTTTATTGTTGAAAGTTTTATCTTAATGAAAAAATGAAAGAGGGAGTAAAAGTTTTCAATCTTCAAGTTTACTATTTCGTAGAAATATGTAATTTACAGTTGTTTTTATTTATACGAACACAATTGCTTGAGTAAGTGTAATTCCCATGATAAAGCTAATTTACTCTGTATAATTACGATAATTAGTTTCTTCTGTAACCAACACATATTCAATTGTTGAATCAACATACAAACATATTAAACGAAGTAAATGAAGTAAACTAGAAAACTGTTCAGATAAATACCTGAAATAATATTTCAATAATTCAATAAGCTTTTGATGGAAAAAAGAACTTAACAACATCAATCAGTATCCGCCCAGTCCAACTCACTCCACCCCCTCAAACCGGTAATATTATTAACCCTTAGTAGAATTGAATCATAAGTTTAATAAATGCTGGCCTATTATGGAAAAGTAATATTTTATATTGTTGTCTACAATTCATTTATCAGACAATCAGTCATATACAGTTTATGATTTGTCAGGTATGTTCATCAGTCCATGTTGACATGATTGCATGACCTGAACAAAATAAAACAATCAAGACAAATGATGGAGTATTAGAATTATTAACTGTATCAGTTTGAATGACATTAACTTTCTTCCAACCTACCCCTACGTTGGATACCATCTTGCGATCAGGTAGTTGGAGAATAGGTATATGTAACTAACTCAGTCGATGAAAAATTTCCATATTTGTCAACTTATATGTCATATTTACCTAGAGCTCTGTGTCCATTCTAAACATTGTTCATGTCACCATACCTTTGTAGACAAAAGTAATTTCACTGTAGTCTGTAATTTGTTACAAGCAAAAAGTGATTTTCTAAGCGACATTTTTTTCTGGAAAGTGTACAAACTTAACTTGAGTAGTAAGGAATGTGGCAATCTAATGACTATACACCAGTTACTGAATTTGATGAATGTTAGAACTGATTAACTACAAGTGGAATACTATAAAATAATAAAATATAGAATCAAGGTTGCCTATAATCAACTACTGAATACATTTCAAGGTCTACCGAGAAACACTCACAGTCTAGCAGTAATAAATTTGCTAAGATATTGAGTAAGATAGAACCTCTCATAGGAAAACCAAGTAAATTGGTTATTAGTTAAATTTTAACAATTCCTATTCAAAAACGTTTCCATCTTCTCATCGTAGTTTGGAGGATAATGTATTCGAGTTTCACGCGTAAGATGCTGGGTAAAAGTCTGAATAATGTAATCAAAGTATTCCGAATTGACGAGTCCCTAATCGAGTAAAAATCAGGTTTTGGATTCCATTGATAGTCACTATAAAACCTTATCCTTTAATACTTTCTTCCATCAGAAGTATCTCAAATCATATACATCAGAAACGCATATACACACATAAACATACATGCCTAAGTTGGTCATTTTCGGTGTTACATTATTTAAAATACATCTTTTTAAGTAAATTTTTACTAGTTGGTTACAGCTAACAGATAAGCTAAGACTCATGTATAACATCTTGATCGAGAATTTCTCTCTCCCCAGTTATTTATCTGTTTATCGATCTCCTTTTCGTTATGCGAAACGGATGTCTACTTTGAAGGTGTAATGAAATTTTCAAAAAACGTAAAGTCAGGCAAATTTTGACTGACATGCCATGAAAGTACAAAAAATGGACAGTCAGCAATTTATTATTAAACGATAAGCAATAAATATTTATGATAGATAATTTAATAAAATCAATATCTCCACAGAGGATCGAACCCATGACTTGCAGATCTCGTTGTGAGCGCCTAATATTTTGATCATAGGGTTGTCATCCAGTGATTTACGTATGTAATGCCAATATCAGTGATAGACAAGGTCTTTTCCATACTAAACATAGTCAAACTCTATTGGTCATAGCTTCTTACTAGGACTCTTACAATCATCACTCGAAATTCGTCACTTCAATCATTTTTCACATTTTCCTAGTTGACGTTTTTCGTCAAGTCTGAGTAAGTAGAAATTAATCCTAACACTATATCAATTCACTTGCAAATGATGAATATTGATCTTGAGTGCTGTTAGAGGTATGAGGGCGATTACCACTTCTCGGTTTCCCACACCATGGGAGGGTTCTTCTAGAGGTACCTGAAAAGGAAACTGGGTTAGAGGTGGTCTTAGTGACCCGAGAGCATGAATGCAGTGCCCAAGGGACAACTACTTGAGGTCGGTCACACACGACGTTTTGTCAGTAATTTTCGTGTTACCTCCGTACTTGTTGGGACCTTACCGCCGGAGACGGATATCCATGGGACAAGGTGAGGTGTGCATTTTCAGGGTTGACCTTTTCTAACCCCACCCATTCGTTTGTGAGAAGTCAGCATTATTGTTATGCTGATGATGCTGAACACACGAAACTAACTGTATTATCACGTTTATTTTAATGTCCACATTTAACAGAACAATGAAGCCAGCAACTATATTAGGTGATAATGATAAATGCCCTTTCTTGTATATTGCAATTTTCTAGAAAGAGAAAAAAGTAATCTCGAGTTTAGCGATTGATTGAATGCTGATTTTAATAATTCCCCCATCAAAATATCAAAAGTTTTTTTGAATAAACGTTCAACTTCACACTGTAAATCCGCAACCCACCACGAAGGATTGAGAGCAAGATCTTTAGTTCTGGACGCTAAAGAGTCTCATGATAGGAGGAAACAGGTGCACAATGCTTCCTGGTTTTCGACGGCTGTCTATCTAGATAAATCTCTTTATCTATATTACACTCTGATTAAAAAAGAAAATGGATTTAAAGTTGATGGAATTTTGTAGAAAATATAAGTATTCTTCACTTCAATTTATCAAAATAAGGAAGAAAGTTTATAGCTCAGGTGAATTCTTCTTCATGATGTAATATTCTCTGAGCTAAAAGAGCAGTAAAAACTCGATAATCAAATTGTCTAGAACACAAAACATAACATCACTGAAAACTCGATTTATTTTTCCAAAAGTCTCATACATCTATACAAACAAACGAAAATAATACTTACACCGTGTAATGCTGTATACTGTACATGAAATGAAGCCATTTGTTCTTCACCTTTTATTTCAACAGAAATCAATAAACGAATAGCTCCAGATACTGCTGATTTATCTGTCCGTTTCTCTGAAGTTTTGTTTTGAGAATAAAAGAATAAAATATGAACAACATTAGTATTATTGTTAGAAAGGCAATGAATTATCTCATTGTCCATAATCAAGATTAAATAATGATCAATTTCAATTGACACATTTGCATTTTGAACGGATTATCTCGATACTACCATTTTGTTACATATTTTATGTAGAATAAACAAACTATAGTTAGCAGTGGAATCTAAGGCACGTGCTTCATCCTATTTAAAACTTGTCACCTGGACTACTTGCATCTTATAGTTGATATTCAATCAGGGATTCGAATCCAGTACCTTTCGTTTCACAATTTTAATCAATTATCAAAATAACTATTAATTTGATCGGCGAATATGATGCGTACATTGTTATTAAACGGGGTTTGAAGTATCCTGGTTATTCAAACTCTTTCTAAGATTCTTAATTTATAACATTTAAAGTATCTAGTCGTCAGAATTATTTTAACAATTAAAAACTGAATTTTATTTAAAAAATCAATTTGTTTTACATAACAATAGAATTGTATTTTGTTCATTTCTGTTTGTCCATAGATACCAGTTTATAGAAGCTTTGTTTTTAGTTCTAATCGAAATCTCAAAGAAATAACAAGTCATAGCATCCTTATAGCTTTGATTAATAGATATTCAGTATAATGTATGTCCAAAATTAACTAATTATTAATTAGTATCAGAAGAAGCTTTGTGGATATAATAGTAATTTCAATGGTTGAGATAATCAGTCAGTTGAACCTAGACAACCACAGAAAGCCTGGAAGCACTGGACGTCCCACTGTGGGACTCCTCGGCAGTGCGCGTCGACGATCCCGCTTTGCAAGATTCCAACCCAGGACCTATCGGCCTCGCACGTGAATGCTTAACCACTAGACCACTGAACCGTCATTCGACGATGTTAATGTCTAACTTCAAATAATCCATGAAATTGAGTGACACATCCATCATTGTCTTTAGTGAGTTACTATCTCACAACTGACCCGGTTGAACTCCACCAGTCACTACTTCTCACTGGAACTCCAGGATATACCTCTTGAAGCCAGTCACTAGTAAGCACATATTGATTAGTATCAGAAGGGTTTTTGTGGACGAAACGGCCGTCTAGTGCTTCTAGGTTTTCCTTCGTGGTTTAGTTTCAACTGACCCACGATTTCAACCATTATAATTATTAATTGTTGTATATAAACAATAAGAATTTTTAAACTTTGGAACAATCATTTGAATGGAATTCATCACTCTACATCAACTTCATTGACTGCGAGAAAGCATTTGATAGCGTGGACAGGACAACACTATAGAAGCTTCTTCTACAGTACGGCATACCTTAGAAGGTAGTCAGTATCATACGGAATTTCTTGAGATGGATTAAACTGCAAAATCGTGCATGTAAGACAATTGACAGACTCGTTCGAGGTAACTACCGGTGTTAGGCAAGGCTGGACTGCTAGAATCCAGCTGGACGATCTAGATTTCGCAGATGACCTGGCTCTTCTACCGCAAACGCAACAACAAATGCAAGAGAAGACGACCAGTTTAGTAGCAGCCCCAGCAGCAGTAGGTCTCAACATACACAAAGGGAAAAGCAAGATTATCCGACACAACACAGTATACACCAATCCAATAACAATTGACGGAGAAGATTTGGAAGATGTATAATCCTTTTCATATCTGGGCAGCATCATTGATGAACATGGTGGATCTGATGCAGATGCGAAGGCAAGGGCAGTATATTTACAACAGAAGAACATCTGGAACTCAAAACAACTGTCAACCAACACCAAGGCAAGAGTTTTTAATACAAATATCAAAACAGTTCTACTACATGGGGTGGAAAGCTTGAGAACTACGAAAACCATCATTCAGAAGATAAAGCTGTCTACGCAAAAACTTCGGATCCGTTGGCCAGACACTATTAGCAACAACCTATTGTGAGAAAGAACAAACCAGATTCCAGCCGAGGAAGAAATCAGAAAGAAGTGCTAGAAGTGGATAGGACACACATTGAGGAAAGCATCCAACTGCGTCACAAGGCAATCCCTCACACACAATCCTCAAGGCGAAGGGAAAAGAGGAAGACCAAAGAACATAGTTCGGCGAGAAATGGAAACAAACATGAGAAAAATGAACAAGAATTGGATAGAACTGGAAAGGAAGGCCCAGGACAGAGTGAGTTGGAGTATGCTGGTCGGTGGCCTATGCTCCATTGGGAGTAACAGGCCTAAGTAATTAAGTAAGTAAGTAATGTTTAAACTTCTGAGTGAATTAAAACCGTATTGTTCTCTAAGAAAAAATAATGATCTCGGAGTGGTTCTAGTGTGTTGAATACACTTCTCTTTTGAATTAATGAATAAATATTCATAAGATCAAGTTGACAAGAGAATTTAATTCTTGAACATTTTCTTTTCAATATGTTTTGTTTAGCATAGTGAAGAATAGCTGAAAATTCCTGAAACGATAAAATTTATTCACTTGATGATAATTTGTGCACTGGGTTATAACTTCGATTAACAGGTTATGAATAGAACAATTATTTTCCATTTTAGTTCATTCACTGTATGCTATACCCTATATGAAATAAATGAATATTCAGATGGAAGTAATTACCACAATCACCCTACCTTAACACTTTTATTACATAACAGGCTCATTAATAACTGGTTTAAGGGTAAATTTCAGAAATCCCAATAAGAAATTGTTTCTGACTGAGTTAAATTATATCACGTATAAGGAAGTTAGTTACTAAGCAATATTCATTCGATAGTTGTTATACTATATAACGAATCGACTCAATTTGTAAACACAGGGATAAGTGAACGATAGTTAATTACTTTAAGTGTTATATGTAGATGAAACATTGAAATGTCTCAATATTTGATTATCACATTCAACATCATCATAATCATTATTGTGCTTATATACAGACAAGATGAAATTATTTCAATTCACTTAAATCACTTACCAAGATTATACCATACATCCATTTCACCGCTTAATGTTCTTACTTCAATAATTGTCTGACCAAGAAAATCATCCGATTCTCTAGTGAATTTTTGTCGAATTTTCGACTTTAAATCATTATCTTCATCCCTGTAGGGAAAAAGTTGTAAAAATGTGAAAAATATTTAAAATGAACATGACCTTTCACAATGTCAGGCACTGTGTAATTTTACATCAAACAATAAATTGTTTACCATATCTGAGTTCTTGCTCATTACAGACACCTAACATTTTTATCTTGACTGAAAATTATAAACAACTGAATAAAACGCAAGAAATCTTTTATTACAATATCAATCCAACATAGTTAATGACAGTTCATTCTCTCTAGATATTCATTTCTGTGGTAAAGAATTCAACGAATATTCAAACCTACTAAGAACAACAACATCAACAATAACTGAAACAGACTATTCCATGAGATAATAATAAAAACCAGATTTTGATGATCATTGATGTCAACAGATGTTTCACACATAGAAGTAAACATCCGATAGAGTTGATCATTTATGGTTGACTGAATAATCACGAATATCACGTTTATTCAATCCCCCAGTCGGTCAGTTAGTATATCCGTACAAGTTGTCATACCTCATTAACACAAAGAGATGAAATTGTCAAACCGAATCCCAGACTAGTACAGCCAGTAACATTATCAATAGTAATAGGCATCAAATACGCAATTCAAGAAGAAAATATAAATTAGTTAACTATAAAAACGTGATGAGGAACTCAGAAGCTCATCATTTGGAGGAAGATAAAGAATGGATGGACCTGCATCACTGTAAATGATTTTGAGCCATGTCATTCAAACTTACTAACCAGTGGCTACGATAATCACGCGAACCTCAACCAAGTAGTTTACATAAATTAACATGCTTTAGTCGAAATGTCAGTGTCTTTGTAGACCCACTCTCATGTCTTGATTTGGCCACCATTAGCCTTCTTCTAACCTACTCCTACACCAAACAGCATCGTTCATCGAGGTAGAAGATGGTTGAACACATGTAACACATGTTCCAACTAACTCAGTTGATGAGGATTTGCTGCTTTATCAATTGGTTTCTTATCCTTACCTAGCACCCTACTAATTAGGGATTGCTGATTAACTTCTACCTACGACGTTGTAACGTAATATCTATCCTGAATGACTTGACATTATGTGCACTTTGTTGATATGTTGGGTGGTGCAACATCGCCTAAGAGCAGCCATGTTTAACCTGAGTTTAGTGCAAGTTGGTACGCACCAACAAGGTACCCCTGCAATTCAATGGGAACCGATGCTTTTCGGTGGATTTAAACTGACATCTCCCACTTGAATAGAAAAATATGGTCTTAGTGTTCAGATGTCGATCAGTTATAGATATATCGGTTCTGCAGTAACACAATAACGACTCAAATAGCTCGGTGGTAATGTCCCAAATTATGAACCTGTGTTGGAATCTCACAGAGGCTACAAATTCCCTCACGATAGAAGGTATTCCTAACTAAAAATTGGCAAATAGCATGAAACCTAGGTAAGGCAAATTAATTGTCAATTGCTTTCAACCACTTGAATAAAGTTTACTACAATGTTCAGGTATTCAGATAAATGATCATCAATAAAAATATGATTGATATTATTCAATCAGTACTCATGATGATATAGGATGCTATCAGCTCTAACTATGTATTTTCATCAGTCAATGAACTTCTTAAAACCCAAAGAATAAGGTGTGTCATTATTCTAGGAATGATGTTTTCAGTCAATAAAATGAACGAATTTTTCTTCTAATCCCTATTTAGCTTTGCATCTTCACTGCGTACAAATGTGCATATGGTCTATTGTACAAACTCTTAAAATTTGCCATACAGAAACTAAATAAACCCTGTTTCCGAATCATTAAATTTAGACATTAACACCGTTGGATGCCGGTTCAGTCGTCTAGTGGTTAAGCGCTCGCGCGCGAGACTGATAGGTCCTGGGTTTGAATCCCGCGAGGTTGGGTCGTGGATGCGCACTGCCGAGGGGTCCCACAATAGGACGAAACGGCCATCCAGTGCCTCCAGGTCTTCCATGGTGTTCTGGCTTCAATTGACTCATGACCTCAATTATTGATATTATATCATGATAATATTTGAATAAGAATGGTAAACATTACATATCATTGTAACATATTAAAATGAATTTAAATTTTAAGAGAAGGAGTCACCTTTGTGATAACAAACTTATTTAATTCATTCATATTTTATGTTAAACACTTACAATAATTTGTGCATCACAGACTTTCATGTATTGTCATCTTAGTTAATGTTAGAATTCTTTTATGAAACGGAACTATATCTTTCTTTTCACTATGCAAAACTTATCATTACATAGTATGTCACTCAATATATCAAGATATGAAATAAAGAAACATCTTTTGTTAAATGGAGTTATGTTGTTAGTGTTTTGTGTGAATGAATCACGATGGTATGATTTAGACTGTACAGATGTTAATCAATGTAAGAGAGCTTTGTAGAGATTATTTGTATGTGAATATTATTTCTGTTACAAAACGACATCAGTCGGGAAAATCTATTGGAAATCACGAAACAATGAATAGTTAACTGTTTCTACTTTGAGAGTATACAGATGAGCACACCTAAAACCCATTAGGAAGTAAACCTTAAACAATTAGTAATCATTCCAAGTGTGTGTGTTCAAAGGGAGTATCAATCGAACGATGCACTTATACTCCCAAAATAACCGAACTAAATGCGGAAATCCAACGTTTTCTACTGGGCAGCTTATGAGATAGTCTCTTTGGACTCATGTGGTCGTACGTTATGTGCAATGTGAACAGTTGATTACTGATTATCAGAAAAGTACACTATTCGGATGATAATGAACATGTGAACCGTTCTTATGTCTCAGTGAAGTTACTGACTATCTCAGGGTCATCCATTTATGTTATCTGTTTACTTACGTAGAATAGGCTGTATCTGTGTGTATCAGACCTAGGAAAATGAAGATAACTCATACTGATCTATCAGACATCTGAATTTCTTTATCTTAGCTAAGTTCACTATATTTGAATGTTATTTTCTACTTGATGAGTATTTCCATGAATAATTCCCATAAATAATTCAAAACAATGAAGCATTCCATGAGATATGATAAGGTCTAGTTGAAGAATTCAAAAGTAACAGATCATCATAGCCCCATGAATTGATATCTAGTCCGTTATTCTATTTAAATAGTGATTTATTAAAATACAAAACATAAAGTCGGTTAATCAATCGAAATCTGATTATTATATCAAGCTTTTTCTCCAGTGATAAGATGCAAATGGAAACCATATCATAGCAACTATTTAAATAATAATATTTCTATATCTATAATTTTGCGGGATTTACACTTCTCTCACAGTATCAATATCAGCAATTAAGTCATTGAAAACAAGATCAGTCAATTTGTTTACACTTAATTACTCAAAATGATTAATTGTTTTACATTAAAACAGAAAGGAGTGGCTAAATTATTCCCATAAAAATAGATTGATTTATTTAAATAAACAATAAACTACTGATGAGAAAGATAGAAATAATTTATTTTCATTCACTAGAGGACATTAATCAGAAAGATATATCTATACATTTATATTCTAGCTTTTACTAGAGTTGTGTTCTCTGAGCTGGAGGGTTTGATCGTGGAACTTTCACTGTTCTTCTGAATAACATCATTAGCACACACTTCAGGTAGAAATGAATTGTTCGAGTTACGTCACATATGACGCACAACTTGTTGTGGACTGGATCTTTATTGGTTATTGCTGACCTTTAACATGTCATTGTCTACTTTTTTTTAATCAAAAAGTAGGTTACTGACTTTTCTAACCTTGTATCATCTTTTCAATCTTCAAGGTTTACAATGAAACGTCTAATTTCCATGATAACAGCTGTTTTCCATAATAGAAATAGATCTCAATATTTTATTGCATTTTCTAATCGTTCTTCCTACAGTTTACTACAATAAAATGATAGCTTATTATGCATATTTTCTGTGGACAAATCCTACATTATAGTGTTATTAAACAAAAGTAAACTCACCAAACACGAAGTTTAATTCGTTCCAAGGCATTATCACATTCACTAGAAGCAAACAGAAGGAAAGTTGTGTCATTCGTAATATATCATGATTATCGATTTCTTTAATCAATATAATTGCGATTTGATGAAAGAGAATTAAATAAAAAAGTGGCATCAGTTCATGAAGTGGGTGCATAAAACGTGATTGTGGTTGACACTAAAGCTGTGATAAATGAGTCAAGACTTTAGGCAATATGGCTTAGAATACGTCACAACAACTAAGATCCATTCAATAATTACCTTCCCATAAATTTTAAGCTCCAATATAACGTTATGTATAACTTTTGTTTCTGTCTTCTAGAGTTTTATTTCCAATGGTTAGTCTTTCCCATCAACATCGCTACTACATTATTTCAACTCTAATCTCGTCATGCCAATGTGGCGCAGCAACTATATCCATCACACATTTATATCACATTGTATGCTAATTTACCATTGATTTTAAGTATGTTTGCGTAACTTACGTTATTAGTTTATGCAACTCCTAGAATTTATATGACCCACTTCTGAACTCGCAAATTACCTGAATAAAATGTGTTTGAAAGTATATTGTGTGCTTAACAGTTCAATACATTGGAACAACACAACACTATAGTCTCTTCGATTGCTGACTCCACTCAAGGTTCATATAGACAACACATGTTTTCCTAAGCCTCAAACATTTGGTACTAATAGTCAATAAAAAATATTCAGTTAGATCGTCTCTACGTAATTGGGTTTCGATTCACTAGAGGAGATATCATTTCCATAACGTTTACTCGTACATATTAATAATAAGTAAAAATAAGTATAGAAAAGTAGGGTTTCACTTAGATAATTGCTTTATCACAGAAAGATTATCCAAAAATACACAACAATTTGATTCAAATAATTTTACTCTAAAGTACATACAATAGAAATTTTTCATCCCATGTTGGATTCAATTCTTGTAGAACTGTTTTAGTACGTTTACGTACTTTACCAACTTGTACTGTCACATATGGATCACTTCGTCCAGTTTTATCTTTACCAATTAAACCCTGAGCAGATTTCACTTGAAAACAATAACAAAGATAATAATAAAAGCGATAAGATTAATAAACATGAAGGTACTTATAAAAATTAATCGAAAAATATGACTGTAAACACATATTGATTTGTATAATATTAAATCCTATATACATGAATATACGTCAAAATTAGAATGAATAGTTTGACAGAAATTGAGCGCCGAGTATAGAGAAGTCATTATATGTGAAAATTATATTTGAAATAATCTCAGAGGTTGAAATTTGAGTAATTCCAATGTTTCGTCCAGCTAACTTGTCTGGACTTCTTCAGGATAATAATCAACATCAAAATCATCAAAGAAATATATAGCTTTTTAACAATCATCCTATATGTTGAAATAATTCGATTGTTTGATATAAGACGGTTGAATTGACAGATATATTCACTTAATCTATTCCTGACTTCTGAAGGATAAACTTCAAAGGAAAGTCACCACTAGCTAATTATCTCAATGTGTGAATACTTATCTCAAACAATTAAGACTATTATTTATTAATGAAAACTCAGATACATGATTGAGGAATATTCTTTTCCATAAAACCTCGTCATATTTGAATTTAATAATCAAAATGAACAGCCAAATACATGACAAATACACAATTTATACGACTGTAGAATATGAATTTATTATTTATTCATTGGTTAATCCTTGTAAATATTACGTCCTCAACAGTAATAATAATTATTACTATTCACTTGGTGTTGTTTTACTTGTATCTTCCCATTGTTATTTGGTCTTATGTTGGCATATCTTCATCCTGTGCGGATTGCCTCGATATAGCCTTAAGCCACAGGTACATCCAGCTGACGAATCCTAAATAGGGCGAAATGAGCGTCCTGGATTCCACTGCTACCCACTTTCCATCTTTGCTTAAAAAGCTTGTGACTTAAGGCTATATCGAGGCAATCTGCACAGGATGCACACATGCCAACCTGAGACTGATCAATTACAGTCCTAAATAACAATGGGAAGATACAAGTAAAAGAGCACCAAATTAATTTAAACTTCACCCCATTGAACAAGCAAGTGTCTATCAGGACTCAGTAGCTAAGTGGACAACGTGATAGCATTTGGGGCGAACGGTACTGGGTTTGCGTCCTGGAGTGAACATCAACTCTGGGATGCAGGCACGTCCAGCTGACGAGTCCAAATAGAACGAAACGCGCGTCAAACTGGTTTCCACTGCTAGCCACTATCCATCTTTGCTTAAAAATTATTATCATTATTAATTATACAAAATACTGAATCAAAACCATGTGACTGTAAGATACTTCTAATTTCGCAATTATGAGTAACAAATACAATACGGTGACCGATGTTCACAATTCTTACAGAATGGGTAATTCTATCTATGATCGATGCTTATTGATTTATTGAGTATTATGATAATTGAATAGTAACAGTCCCGTATAAGCCAATAATATTATATGATAATAAACTCTTTATTCGATGCATTATGCAACTCAGTGATCCAGAGTCTAAGTAATTTCCACAAGACCAAATGGTCCGGGATTTCATCTCTGATGAGATCATAAATATTCGCTTCTACAAAGTCCTATACTAGAAGGAAATAAGTGACTAGTGCTCTCTGGTTTTCAGTAAATATCGAACTAAAAATGTTCTTGATGTATATCACAAACTGAAAATTCTCTATAAACCTTCGTCATTAGTAGTATATTTAACTGAAAGCTGTAATCCTTAGTACAACACAGACTATATTCCAACATATTACTCATGGATATATTTCTACAAAATCACTAAATATTTGCTTAATTATGAAATTAGTGCATATATTCCATTTATGCTCAATTAAATGGACTCTGGATCAGATCTGGCCTTATAAGATTTTTCATCTTAAAATATAGAGATTACAAGTAAGGCATGTTATAGCCTTTGTACTGTTGTTTACATGTGTGAATTTCTATGTAATCATATTTGTACTTTCAACGATAATATAGGTCCAGTGGAACATATAATATTCATTGGAATATCCCCCCTGTAGGTTTCGAGTATTTAACATGAAAACAGGCTGTACGTTTGTTTTATAATTCCAAGCATTAAACCATTCAGACATGATAGAAAGTAGAGTACACAAACGTAGAATAACCTGCGAAGAAACAGAAAGAGTAAGTATATGTGTACCATTTCATTCATTATCAAATGACGTTATAGTATTTTCACCAGTACTAAATACCGGGATCTTGAGCTATAACAGTTAAACAGATTAACATTTAAAATCTGAGTTGTCCGTTAGTCATTTCTGTCTAACAGACCAAGAACCTTTAAACTGTCAATCATTGCAGTTGATGGGACATCAATATAATTTTCACTCTCAGGCTGGATAAAATTACAGATACATAGTCTGATATTACCAAACTCCTATTGAATTTAATGTTTAAAATATGAAAGTAACAACTGAACTAGAAACAGATCATTTTATCAAGATTATTTTTAAATTAATTTTATCAAATTATACAGCATACAATTATTTAGAAAATATACTGACGAACGAATTACTCGTTGGTTGTGTCAGTCACAAATAGTAAATAACCAACTTATACAATTTTCTCCATGCTTCACATACTACAATTAAACAGAAAATGTTTTATTTTAAAGTAGACGTGAAATACAAAAGCTTTCAGAATATTACATGATCATTAACGACTATCTGCGGTGGATAAATGTTTCACTCCTAATGGTCACGGATTCTCAATACAAATCTAGGAATTACATCTTATAAGAGACTGATCAATTTCAGTCCAAAAACATCAATGGGAAGATTCAAATAAAACAATATCAAGTGAAGTACATCTTATAACCGTTCATAAATGGGTATATGATCATTATTTAGTGTAGAAGAGTTTGTGAAGATTGCAGAATACAAGATCTTCAATACAAGATCTTGCAATATCGTGAAGTGATTGGTGTTAGGAATGCATACCATCAGATCAGGACTAAGTAGTCTAAAAGTTAAGCTCCCAAACGTTAAACCATAGATGTTCAGTGCTATAGAGTCCTATATTACAACAAAATAGATGTTCAGTACTTCCAGTTTTTCAATGGTGATCTAACTAAGAATAATCAGAGATTTAAATTATGAAAATTCTATAATCTGCACAAACCCTCTTATAATAATATTAATGAAAACTTTGCCTATCTTTTTGCTCAAAATTACTTTCATATTCAATTGAAAAAAACAGTTGCTAAGACGATATAATCGTCTTATGGCTAAAAAAAAAACTAAATCATGATAGAAATCATTTATTTTTATTTTTTTTTCTTTTAGCTATGATCGACTGAATTTTTGTACATTAATTTTCACTAAATGCCTTAACTAAATCTATCATAATGTATTATCTTATCCGTTTGTTGGAGAAAATAATTCAATAATAATAATTTATCACTAGGTATTCGAAACATTATTTCTGGTTAGTGTTTTTTAGTGAGTTTTCTACGGATTGGCGCCGCTAATCCCATGCCCAACCCTCCTCCATTATCCGAGCATGGGACCGGCAGTAGTCCTAAAGGGGCTCCAGGCGAAAGCCATCATCAAGAACATAAAACAGGTTATTAACAGTTGTCTACGCAAAAAACCTCGGACCCGTTAGCCAGACACTATCAACAACAACTATTGTCAGAGAGAACAAGCCAGATTCCAGCGGAGGAAGAAATCAAAAAGAAGTGCTAGAAGTGGATAGGACACACATTGAGGTAAGCATCCAAATGTGTCACAAGGCAAGCCTTCACACGCAGTCCTCAAAGCCACGGGAGCAGAGGAAGATTAAAGAACATATTTCGGCGAGAAATGGAGACAGACATGAGAAAAATGAACAAGAATTGGATAGAACTGGAAAGGAAGGCCCAGGACAGAGTGAGTTGGAGTATGCTGGTCGGTGGCCTATGCTCTATTGGCAGTAACAGACGTCAGTAAGTAAGTAAGTAAGTAAGTAGGTAAGTAAGTACTTCTAAATATTTGTCTACTTTAGACAGAGAAAACCAATTTTAAAAACATATTTCATATATTATGTTTGTCTAACTCGATAAAAAGTGGGAGGTTATTTTAAAAAAATTGAATTAATTTGTACAATGATTAATTAACGGTCAAGTTCAGTCCTCTGAAACATTCAGCAATCCGTTTTGTTTAAATAAAAAAAAATTTTTAAAAACACATTTAACTTGAAAATGAATTTCACGGAATTCTAACAGGGGACTGTGTCTAATAAGATCAATCATGTTGTAAGTTAGAAAGAGTTTACTAGTTTATGATACCATGGTCAAAATTTGACATACTTTTGCCAAGATCTTTGAATTGTAGCTTCAATAGGAAATTTAATAATAATATGGTACATTTTATTAAGCTTAGAAGAAAAACCAGAGATGCTATAGTATCAAACTATAAGTACTTTATAAATCTAGATAATAAATATTCAAATATAGTTATGGATACAAATTCGTGAATAAACTGCCAATGACCCGACACCGTTTTTTAACAATTTCTCAATAAGCGTTTTAGTTCAGCCATTATAATAACTATTAGCTCTAAGTATTCAGTGTATTTTTTTCATCTTCCACAATTATTTACTTTGTGCATCTTTTTCTAACTGACTATGTTTCTTTCTTATTCCTGTACCGGCTACATTAATTTAAGATTTAGTGATGTAGAAGGGCAAGGGTTTTGGGTTTGACTACAGCGTGCGAGATCATTGGTGCGCACTGCTGAGGAGTTCCATACTAGGCGGAAGACGTTCATTGATTCTAGGTTTCCAATAACGGTCTTACATCGATCAATCAATGATTTTAATCAAACTAGATAATCTCCACAACCCAGTATTTACATTAATTGAAGTTGCCTAAACAGATGAAGCTTTAAAGATCTTTGATAGACTGCATAATGAAGCCTTGCAATTTAATTGCACGTGAATGTCTTAAAACTCAAAACAATGTTCCTAGCAGTGGAAGTGAATAAAAAAATGCTATGTCTC